GACTTTCTACTTCTGTAGGTGTTCTTAAACTTTGTTTAGATGAAGCACTTGAATAACTACTATTTTCATTGAATAAATCAGTTTGTGTTGCTTTGTTTGGGTTTCTTAAATCATATCCACTTAAATCAAACTCATCAAAATCAACATTTTCTAGTAACAATCCCTGTTGTGTTCTTCTTTCTCTTTCGGGTAGTATCTTTAATCGTCTTGTTTTTGCTTCTCTTAACGTTTCTTCATATGTTGGGCGTAATCTTAACATTTGTATTTATCCTATGATTATAATTTACAACAAACTGATAATGGCATTTTGAGCACCTGCGATTAAGGCATCCTTTGCGACTTCTTTACCTGCTTCTAATAAAGAACTTCCCGCACTTTCAAATGCCTTTCGTATTACTCCTTTACCTTTTCCTTTTTTCATCTGTCTCCAGTCTTCCATCCTACTTTGTAAAAGCTGGTCATTTACTTCGTCCGCCCACTTACCCGTCTGTATCAACCTTTCAACATAATTCATTAAATAATCCTTTTTAGTTGGTGATTTTCCTTTACCTTCGATTTTAAGTTTTTCCATCTCTTCTTCTTGTTCTTCTGTTAGTTTTATTCCTCTTAAATGTAATTGAAATAATATGTCATCTACCGATATGTCCTATTGTCTCCATCTATCAATATTTTCATTATAATCTATTGTTTCCTTATGTTTTCTAGATTGTGGGGGCACTTGCGTTTCATCATCTTCTTCTTCTTCCTCTTCTTCTTCCGCTACTTCAGTTGGTGTTTCTAAAGGTGGTAAATCTTCATCTGTTGCCATTGAATGTATAGGAACACCCGCGGGTAAAGATTGACTAGTAGCAACGGTTAAATCACTTCTTGCGGATGATGATGATGCTTGTTTTGCTGCTTGTTGTCTCCTTTCCCCTGCTTCTAATTCTGCCCTTATTCTACTAATTTGCTCTGCTGTCATTCTATAATCATCGCTGTCTGGCGTTTCAAATCCATCGGCATTATAAGCACCTAATGGAGTTCTACCACCATAACTTAAAATGCCCATTGACGACGCCTCGCCAGAGGCTCCCGAGCTTCGCGACCCTGTTGCCATTGCTGTTTGTCTTAACTGTGTTTGTCTCATTTCGTTTTTTACTTTGTCTTCTTCCTGTTTCTTCAATCCTGGAAAATCAATAGTATCAAATTGACTACCAAATTGATTGTTTCTAAATAATGTTGCCCTTCTATCAGTTACTTTATCTATAGGTGGTCTGTTAGGGTCGCCCTCTGCTTCAATCATCCCTAGCATTTCATCATAGGTCGGTCTCATTTTTATTTCCGATTTCAATGTTTTAATCATATAATATATATTAGATTATTTCCGCCATTATATCTTTTAATTCTTTTTGTTTCTTAAAAAGTTCTTCCTTTGTTCTTACTGGCATCATCGGTCTTTCTAACTGACGATTAACATCGTCTAGTTCTCCCTGATGGAGGGATTTTTCTGATGTTGTAACCAATCGTTACGAAGTCTAATATTTTTGCCTCTGTTCTCTGCCTCTTCTATTCTTAATTTCATATCTTCTAAATACTTCTTCCGTGACATATCACCAACTGTTTCTTCTAAATCATAATATTGTTGAACCTGTGACATTCTCCCAAATTCTGGTTTGCTTTTATACATACTCATTATTAATATTCATTTGATTTAAAATAAATACTAACAATAATTAAACATACTTGCTCTAAATTTGTTAATCTTTTCCTGTTTCTCTTGTTGCCTTAACCTTTTCATTTCATTATATGACTGTTGTAGTAATTCTGTTGCTGTCGGTTGCCTCGTTGGTTCGGGTGGTTGTTCCATTCTTACGGGGCGTTGTTTTGTTTTCACTTCAATAGGTTCAGAATAAGTAACCACTTCATTTTTAGTTTCGTTGGAAGCGTATTTCTTTTTCATTTCGTCTTCTATTTCTTTTCTTAATTTTTGTTCAATCTTTGACCCATAACTCGCCTTTTGCTTATTTACTGGTAATGTTTCGGTTGGTTGTCCCTTGCAATAATGGGGGTGTGCATTTTTTAAACTCTTTGGTAACATTTTTTTATTACAGGCGCTACATTCCACTAACTCTACCACCTTAACGGTTCTCGCTAGTTTCTTCGGCGTTGCCTTTGCTTTTGCTATTGGTTTTGTTTCTTCTTCTTTAGGTTCTTCTTTAGGTTCTTCTTTGATTTGTTCATTAGGTTGTTCTTCATTGGTTGTTTCAATTATTTCATTTGCTACTACTTCGGGCACTTCTTCGTTTTTAATCATTAACTTCTTCACTACTCATTATTAATATAGTCTAGATTTTTCTAATTAGATATTTATTAACCCCTAAAAAATGTAAGAGCAAAGGATATATCCACCCCATTTAAATTAATATTTTGGTTAAGATGGTCGCTTAATCTGATATTCAACCTACGAAGCATTTTATTACTAACATCAATATAATCAAAATTGCTTAATTCATTGTCATTAATTATTCCTAAATAGGGGACTGTTAAATTTTATCTTCTTTATTATTGGTGAATTACCCGCCACTGTCAATTGGTTAAAGTTGCTAATTTCATTACAATGTAAATATAAACTCTTTACGGGTGTCAACTCAATAAACCCTGTTATATAGGGCACTACATTAGTTGAAGCATCACCTGAAGTTGTATAAACACCTAGAACTTTGTTTATTGATTTTAAGTTGTTGGCATCGACTGGTTCAATAAATCTTTCCCCATTATCTACAAGAACATCAAAATCAGTTTTGTATTTGAATTTTGTTTAAACCTGCTAAATCAGACACTGAAAAAGAATTCGTCCTACCTCCACTATCAAGTGTGTTTAAGGATGTTTGTAGTTGCGTTGCTATTTCAGTTGCCGTATAATTACCAACAGGATTATGAGTTTTCTGTAAGTAACTCCGGATGGTGTTTCAGGTGGTAAAATCCCTTTCATTACATAAAAGTTATTATTGTTTTCATTTATTGAATACCACGAGTGGGGAACGCTTACCTCGTGTATTTGACATAACATATTATCTTCTAGTTGAACCGTTTCAGGTAAGTCTATTGTAAAATCTGAAGTCCCGCTTACTTTGTATGAACTATCAATATATACCTTTTTGAACTTCAACATCTGATATATATATATATATATTATCTTAGATAATATATATCATATGTTAAAGTAGCTTTGCGAATTTCAGCATTTTATACAATAATAAAAGAAAATAATTTATATTCTTGTTTAATAATGTCTAAACATAAAAGTAGAAATGAGGGGATAATGTATGAAGCACCAGATACAAGAAGTAAAATTAATGACGAAGTCAGAGAAGAACTAGCGGGGACTGAAACATTTTTAACTGATGCTCAAGGTGTAAGATTAGCATATGAAAGTCCGGACAGGATGTATAGAAACGGCAGTATTTTATACATTGCTGGAACAAAGACCCCATTGATTTTTATGACGATTTAAAACTACCGTTTTATCAAACAAGAAACACAAAAAGATATAATGATGTTGATGAGTTTATTAAAGACGATGCTATTGAAATTGATGGTAAAAAACATTACGGTGTTACTGATATTATAAGTCATAGTCTTGCCAGTGCGGTTAGTCAGCAAATTAACGATGATTACGGGAATATATTCCGTTCAAGGTCTTATGGTTCGCCTTTTGTTTCAAATCAAAAACCAGAAGATACAGGCACTAACCTTCGTGTGAGAAAGGCCGGAGACCCTATATCAATATTTGATAGAGGGAGTATAACATTAAATAGAAGTTCTTTAAACCCACTTGATAATCATAGTTATTCTGATATTGCTAATGTTAGTAATAAAGCAGGAAATGTACCAATCACTCAAGAGGAATTTATGGAACAATTTGAAACATAGTTAAAGCTTAAAAAAGAACAAAAATATTAAAATGGACTATCAGAATGGTAAGATTTACAAGATTTTGAACACAGTTAATGACGATTGTTATATTGGAAGCACTTGTCAAAAATTATGTCAGCGTATGGCAAAACATCGTAGCGTTATGAACGCCGAAAACAAACAACACTATAAGTTGTATCAATCCATGCGAGAAATTGGAAGCGATAAGTTCTATTTAGAATTGATAAAGGAATACCCCTGTGATAATAAAGACCAGTTGAGAGCAGTTGAAGGAGAATACATAAGACAAATGGGAACATTAAACAACCGTATAGAAGCAAGGACTAAACATGAATATACTAATGATACGAAAGAGCGAAAGAGGGAATACGATAAACAACGCCGTGAGAATAAAAGAGAAGAATTAAACCAACAAAAAAGAGAATATTATTATGAAAATAAGGAAGAATGCAATAAACGAAACAAAGAAAGTTATTACCGAAATAGAGAAGTAAGGTTACAAAAAAATAAAAACTACAATGAGCAACATAAGGAAGAAGTCAATCAATACAAGAAAGAATGCGGAAAACAAAATAGAGAAAATAATAGTCAGTTAGTAGAATGTGAGATATGCGGAAGTATTTATAAGACATATATCAAACGCCACCATATCAAGACTAAAAAGCATCAGGAAGCATTAAATAATCTAAGAAATATTAATAATGTTTCATCCTAAAGCAACAACATACGAACAAATGGAGAAGAAACCGAAAGAGAAGAAGTTTAAACAAAATGCTTACGAAGAGATAAGGAAACTAGTAGATGACAATGAAGAAAACAATATAGTTAAGGAAAAAGAAAAATAACAAAGAAAATACACATAACTTTAAACTATTTGATTAAATATAGTTTAGTAATTATATCTATTTAAATTTCTATAGTAAAATATATAAGATATGGAAACTGTTGCGCCGGAGGATATTCGAAGGTTGAGGTATAGGTTGTTATGGTTTGGGTGCTAGGGGGTGGTGCATGGTTAGAAAATGGAAATGGTCACCACTAACTTCATCATGGCCAACCCAATTCCTCCAATCCTGGATTGCAAGGTTTACCTTCCCGGTGGGGGCGGAAGACGGCGAGCTGGAGCTCAAGGCCCCCCCTTCTGAATCCTCTGGACCTCGAAAGAAAGGGCCGGCCTTCTTGGGCCTCCGGCAGGTGATGAACTCCTCGGTGCCAGCAAACCAAGTGCTGGGATCACTGGGTTTGGGCCCTTGGGGTTTGGGCAAAAACGAGGGGCTCTCAGCTGAGCGCAGCTCTGTCTCTCTTCCAGTCTTCCGCTCAGGCCTCGCGCTTTGGAACGTCCCTCCGGCCCAGTGGCTGCAGCGAGCAACTCAGAGAGACGCAGGCAGAAGCTTAGCTGTTGGGCATCGTTCGGACTTGCAGGAGACGCGAGAAGCTCCTAGGAGGACCGGGTGAACTGGAGTATGCCTTCTTCTTCCAGCCAGCAAAGGCGGGCACGATGGGTTCTTGCATGCGCGCTGATCCTCAGAGTAAGGGCTTTGTACTTTGTACACGTGATCCTGGCCATGACAATCCTCCCCACGGTTCTCAAGCTCAAAAGCGCGCTCCCCTTGAAGGGCACGATAGGCATGCCAGGGTCACATCTTCTGTCTGCATTTATCTGCAAAAGATGTCGACGCCTGGACACGGCCACTGCACGGCACCATCCACGAACTCAAACAAGCACAATGGCATGTTCTCCAGAGGTCGCTTGATGCCCGCCTGCACTCGCAGTACAAAGGCACACTGTACTGTGAGACTAATGCCACACTTGCCAGACCAAGAAGTCGCGGCATGCCGCGCTGCTGTGCACAGTTACAGCTACATTCAAGGAAAATGCCCATGGTCTCCCACTCACAGCTACAAGCAAGCGAAGCGCAGACGACTGCCATGTGCGTTCCAGGTCTCCACCGAAGTGCCGCAGCCAGGCACCGCACCGAAGGCGAGACGAAGGTCGTGGCAGTGCACTTACTCTCATCCTGCTCGGCGTGAGGCGATGCCTGAAGCTCCCCCAGCACCACCGGCCGCGCTCGCGGGGCCCACTGGTGGAAGCTACGGAGGCTCAGAGATGCAGAAAGCGGCTTTCCGAAGTGGGGGAACTCAGCCCGCACAGGTCCGCAGCTGATTGCGCCCCTTCACTTCGGACCGCAGAGCCCAAGCCTTGGCAGAAATCCTGTCCCGCAGAGAAATCAAAACCGGCCCAGTTCCATTTGGTGAGCCGCCTCCGGGTTCGATGGTGGCCGGGGACCTCGTCCTCCCCCCTTTGACCGCCGGCCGCGCACCCGGCCACGTAAAGACACTTACCGAACAAAGCTGCTGTGAGTCCATATCAGTCCGCTCGGTTAGGTTGGGAGGCCTTCAAACCCGTCCCTCGCGCTCCCCAAGCACTGCGTTCCCTTCCGGCACCTCCGACCAAAGAGGAGCCAAGGCAAGAGCCTTTCCCGCAGAGCCCTCCCCGGCCTTTTCCCTCATCCTCTTCTTGTTTCCGGGAAGGATGGAGAAGCACCAGGCACTTTTCCCGGACATGTTCCACTACGTGCCCGCCTCGGATCTTCCACAATTCCAAGTCGTTTGATACCCTCAAGCTTGAGCCTACCACCTGCAAGGAGAAGGATGAGCACGAAGCCGAAGAGTTCGTTTCCCAGTAGCTTTTGCTCTCTAGAGTTTCCCCCTGTCACCCAGTGCCATGGTTGCCCTGAATCCTTGCTTTCGCAATTCTTCGGGCTCAGTGCCTTCCGCCACTGCAGGCTGTGGCTGAAGCCACCTGAGCATGACAAGGCCCGGGATGGCAATCAGCGGCCAGGGATCAGAATCTTCTTTTGATGAGACCGACGAGCTCCTGGGTGCTGACCGGGACTTTGAGGTGCAAGTGCCCAAAAGCTCGACTGTGGTTGTGCTCCGGTTTTGCGGCAGGTCTTGGCCTCCACAGCAGCTCGGCAAAAGGTTACACCAAGCTTGCTCTTTTGGCGACAGCTTTCCCTGGAAGGCTGAGAAGTGGCGGGCCCCGGTACTCACTCCTCTTCAGCTGGACGTCTTCCACGACAAGGTTCCTCATCTGGGAATCTGTGAGTGGCCCATTCGAATCTGAACTGCGCATTGGAGCTTTCAGGTCTTCCCCGACATGGATGTTTCTCGGCAGTCACTATAGCCACTAACTAGCAGTCACTAGCAGCACAAGCACGGTTTCTTCTTTTGAATGCGTGGCAAAAAGGTCGGCTTGGTGCTGCCCCAGCAGGAGGCGAGGAAGGAACTGCCGGAGCGCGCCGGGAACCCTTTGCCGCAACAGCATGCCAGAGCAGGGCCAGGGTGCACGTCCCAGGCACGGGAAGTGAAGACCAAGAGGAAGGAGCGGCGTCGCTGCCTTAGAAGCCTTGCAGCCCGTGCCCGGGGATGGTAATCATACTTATGTCGCGCTTGCAGGTGACCGGGGACTGCCAGAGATCCCCGTCTGGAACCTGGCATTTTGCGAAGTGCGGCAGTGCAGCTCGCCGAACCCGGCCGAACTTAGGTCGACGGCTGGCTTGACAACGCGCAGACCAAGCAGACACGGCAGCCTTTGAGGCTTTGGAACTTGCGCGCCATTTGCCGCTTTCTTTTGCGGCTCTTGACCAGGCAGCTGAAAGACCAGGAACCGAAGCAGACTCCTCCGCCGCAGGCCGGGGTGCAGGAGCGGGTGGGAAGGTTCGGTAGATGTTTTCGATGCTTGTGTGGTCGCCACTCCGGCATAGAGCTGGCATCCCACGGACGCTTGCCGGATGATCGGCCTTTCCAAACCTCGCAGCAATCTAGCCATGCTCTTGCGCTCCGACAGTGGCCAGAGAGCCTGGCTTTGGGCTTTGTGCGGCGTTTTGCAGGAGCCCAAAAGCAAATCGATCTCTCCGATCTTGGAGGCCCAGCTTCGGGAAAAAGGGGGCGTGGGGAGGTGTGATTCGCGACTGGCGCGAAAGGCGCGAAGCAAGCGCCGCCGTGCGAAGCTCAAGGCGGGGGACGAAAGCGCGAGATGGCTCGGCGGGAATCCTGGCCTCATAGAGCTGGTGGTAGAACTGGGAGGTGGAGCGGGAGTTGGTGCGGCCGGAGCAGGCTCTGGAGCCAAAAAGAGCCGAGAGAGAGAGAGAGAGAGAGTAGGGGAACTTCCCCTTCGCCATAGCCCTCGCGAAAGACAGAGGGAAAGAGAGAGAGAGAGAGAGAGAGACTCGGCGGCGCTCCTATTCCTTGCTCCCTATAGGCCCTGGACATCGATCAGCAGCTGCAGAGCCATTCTGCCCAGTTGAAGCCCAGTTTAGAAGATCCCTGGATTTGGATACCGAAACTGCTGAGGTCCTGAGATGATCTGCCTGGATCCTGCACTTCAACCTCAGCAATACAAAGCGCAGGCCTCCAGGGTCCAAAGCAGCTGCAGTTCACTGCAGTTCTTTGAGCCGCGTTGCCGTGCTGGAGGTGGTGAGCCACCTGGAGCCCAGCGAGGAGGAAAGACGGGTTTGGGCTAGGAGCCTGGCGGAACCCTGGTGGAGTGCTTGTGCTTTGCACTTGTTCACTTCCGTGGCCTTGTGCTGTAGGTGCGAAGGCCTGGATCGGACCCAACCGTCATGGAGGCACGAAGTTTCCGCCGGGCTGCACAGCACCGAAGCAACAAAACCCTTGCAAGCGGCTTTGCTAATTGCGTTTCTCTTGCAGACCTGAGCTCAAGAAAGCGCCCAAAGTGGCGTCATGGAGTCATAGAAGGAACATGCAGACGTAGTGACATTGGGGGATCCCGGACATTGCAAGACAGAGTCTCAAGACCTGCTTCGGGAAGCTACAGTGACAGCAAAACAGAAACCGCAGCGGAGCAGCGGAGCTGGGATCCTTGGCCATGGATGACCTGAGCATCAACATTTCAGGCCTGGCCCCAGGTGCTGCCCGCACCATCCAGGCCCTGGGCAGGCGGAAACGTGTGTCGGAGGGTCCTTCAAAGAGGAAGGCGAAGTCGGCGAAGCCTTTGACTGGGAGAGTGAAGAAGAGCGCGACGGAGGCGGAGAGGCTCCAAGAAAAGGAGCCGCCGGGAGCCTCAAACCGCGCGAAGCGGAAGCGAGAGGCGCCCAAGCCGAAGCCAGCAAAGGCGAAGGTCTTGGAGGCCTGGAAGAGGACCCAGGCCAAGGCCACGCCGGCCACGGCCGCGCCGGCCACGGCGGCCAGGGCCAAGGTGAGGAAACCCTTGCATCCGTCAGGAGCAGATCAGACGCCATCGAAGCCTCCCAAGAAGCCAAAGATCCGTGAACGTGAAGCCCCCCGAAAGGCCGCAGAACTGAAAGAGAGCGGTGTCGTTTCGGAGACGGCTTTTGTGGCCTTGAAACTTCACGAGTCCTTGCTTCGGCAGCTTCAATATCTGGGCTTTACAGACTGCACACCCATCCAAGCCCTCGCTGTGCCTCGGGCATTGACGGGCAAGCGGGATGTCTTGCTGCGGGCCCCGACAGGCTCAGGCAAGACCTTGGCTTTCTTGTTGCCGGTCTTGCACCAATTGCTGGTGACTCCGGGTGGCATAGACCGCAGGACCGCCAAGCAACTAACCAACTAAGTAGGAACGAGACTCACTAGTCACTATATAGTCTTTAGAGTGTTGAACAGCAGAGTGCGAGTTCGCTGCAGGAAGGGCACGTTGGCCACAGTCCTTTCACCTACCAAAGAACTGGCGCTCCAGACCCTGAAGGTTGCGTCTGATCTGGCTCGGATGATGCCTTCCCTGGTGTGTGGAGCGGTGGCCGGTGGAGAGAAGCCCAAGAGCGAGAAAGCCCGCATCCGCAAAGGTCTCGTGCTCCTCTGCGCGACTCCGGGGCGCCTGGCATACCACCTCGAGCACACAGCCACCTTCGTTGCACCTCGGAGAGAACGGCAGACCCCAAAGCCCTCCATCTCGAGAATTCTCACGCGCCCCGTTCACGAAAGACTAGAGGGTTGCTGTACAAGCTGTACAACCAGAATAAGCTTTTCGACGCTTGCGGGTTTCAGTGTGTAGATCCGCATCATCCGCCGTCCAGCCTCCGCATTACCTTCTCGGCCCTCGTCGGTTTGATGCCCGCTGGGCCCTTCGTCCTCCTAACCCATGCTCCTAGCAGTCCTAGCAGTGCATGTGAGGAAGGGAAGGGTACATGCACTTAAGAGACAGGTGGTGGAGGCAAGTCTCTGCCATCTTGGTGTCTTGTGCGAGAGTCTGCTTTGAGGTCCGCAACATCCGGTGCCTTGTGTTGGATGAAGCAGATCGGCTTCTCGATATGGGCTTTGAGCCACAGATTCGATCTATTCACAAGAAGATCTTGGAAGCAGCCAAGGACTTGGCAGTGACAGGGGTTTGTTTGCAAGTCTAGGCTGCGATTACATCTGAACAGGAGGGCGAGAATGCCGAAAGCCCCACGGGATCAGTGCAGACGCTGCTGGTCTCGGCAACTCTGGTTCCCGCGGTGCAACAGCAACTGAGATGGCATCCCATTTCCTTCGCTGGGTTCGGTGGTCGCTGCAGAAACCTGAAGCTAAGGCTTGCTGATTTCTGCCTCCGTCCGAAAGCCTTCTGGGCAGATGCAGAGACACATGCGAAGGAAGAAGTCGCTGAGACGGGCACCGTGGCTGTGGGTCAAGAGCTGAACTTCTTGGCCCCATCCACCCTGACCCAATGGTACTGCGTAGTTCCAGGGAAGGAGCGGCTCGCAGCCCTCTTTGCTGCGATCTTGTCGCGGGTGGGTGAGAAGAAGTCCATCATCTTCTTCTCCACGGGAGCTTCGGTGGACTTCCACTGCGACCTTCTCCAGGACGCAGCCTGGCCCCCACGCGGCGGAAGAATGAAGAGGCACGACCAGCCAGCCATCAAGAAGCTGCAGGGTCGCTTCGTTGGCCTGGCGAAAGATGCCAAGCTCTTGAAGGAAGAGGACGATGAGGAGGAAGAGGAAGAGGAGGAGGTAGCTGAAGACGTCGGTGATCGCGAGAATGAAGAGAAGATGTTTGCGAAGACCAAAATCTTCAAGTTGCATGGAAGCCTCTCCAAAGAAGAGCGTGCTGGTTACATTAAGGACTTCCTCAAGGTCCCTGGAGGAGTGCTTCTTGCTAGCGATGCGGCTTCTCGCGGCCTCGACTTCCCGCAGATCGACTGGATCATCCAGTACGACCCTCCGCAGAGGACTCGCTCTGCAGTTTCTGGATAGCGCCTCTTGTGCCGCAGCGTTACCAGGACCGAGGAGTACCTGCACCGCGTGGGCCGCACAGCCCGTATCGGCCAGCAGGGCAGCGCTTTGCTCTTCCTGCAGCCCAGCGAGCTCGGCTTCCTGGACGTCCTGCGAAGCCGAAACCTCACGGACCTCCGGGAGATGCAACTCGAGGAGAGAGAGCGGCTAAGACCGTAAGGCCTTACTTCTCCCACCCGCGCGGCATCCTCGACCATTGCAGAATCCAGCACTGTCTACAGGGTGTGTGAAAACCTTGAAACTAGCAGAAATTCGGGTGTTATTCATAACTGGGTGTGGAGATGCAGGTTAGGTGGTGGCTTGGCACCACAACTTCATCTGGCTAAGCCCGAAGCCCATGTTAATCGTTAATCCAAGTTAGACCAACTTGTGTGAAGTTCCATCGCTGTTGGGGTCTGCTGAGATAGTCTACTTAACAACTCTGACACTATCTGATCTAGAGTGGCCCCTTTGAATTAGATCCAAGAGAGTGGTCGTAAAATTCTACTGGGAGCCTACTGCGCCGCAGGAGCTGTTAAGCGGGTTGCGAAGCAAAGCGCCCGCTTCTCTGACAAGCTATCGGGACATGCAGGACTGCCCAGCCCGGACATCTTGTAACGTGTCTTCTTGCTTCGGACTCAGACTTCTTAAGCCTCCCACAGCACAGCCTGAAATCCTTCGAAAGACTTAAACTTCAACATGGCAACGTACCCCAAACCCTAGTCAAGGAAAGACTATCCTCGTTCCCAGCTTTTCGTGTCAGGGCCTCTTGTCCGGCCACCTCGCCAGCCGCGTGGCGGCACAGGCAGCCTTGGCCTCGCGGGCGCGCTCCGGTTTCCTGGCCTCCTTGAAGGCCAGATCAGAGGGCTCAGGGCTTGGGATGCATCCTGAGACATCGCTGGTCTTCCGGAGGCTTACCGCTCCTTCCCACGGGAGCTCCGAGCATCCTTTCCTTTCGGCCAGCTCCACCTGGGACACCTGGCGACCAGCTTCGCCCTTCGCGAGGCACCGCGCGAAGTGGTCCAGAAGAACCGGCCCGGACCCCGGTAAGATCCTACGTATACAGATTTACACATGTGTTATAGTTATTATTTTCACTTTGGATGATAACTGATATCTGTGCGCACATGTGGTACGCATATTCCATGTAGGTGTACTCAATGCTTGGCTCAGGTACGAGCGTACTGCAGGTGAGGCGCAGGAAGGCCAGGCAGGCCAGCGCGGCGGCCCGCGTGGCCAGCACCGGCGCCTCAAGGAGAGACGGCAGCAGGGCACGAAGGGCACCAAAGGCAGCAAGGGCACTGGCAAGGGCAAAGCTTCCCAGAAAGGTAAGCCCCGCAAGCCCGGGAACCCCAAGGGTTTCGGGGCGGATGCTGCAGATGAGTTTGCAGCTTGACCCAGAAGCTGCCAGAAAGAAGCGCTTGCTGGGCTTTGAAGACGAGTCTGCCAGCTTTCCTGTTGCCGCACCTGCGTGCACCTCTATCGAGGTGCCGAAAGATGACCAACAGTGGCTTGAGCCTTTTCAGACTGCTGTCCAAGCCGAGGCCGGCCCGCGGCCAGCAGCCCTCAGCCCAATCATGCAACCCCTTTGCGACGTCGTGGGACTCTGTCGCAGGGGATGGCCGAGAGCGCGTTGCGAGCTCAGAAGCTTTTTTGCCTTGTCAGTACGCCTGTGCTGGATTCTGGAAAATCAGTGTCACGTTGGCTGCGTCCTCGGACGCCTCCGCCTGCTATCGGGGGTGTAGAGGGGCGAACCGACGCACACCGAGAACCACCAGGGAGTGTCGAGCACAAAATAATCGATGTACATGGTCGTGGGCCTTTATAGGGTTTGCAGGGTCTGCAGTCGGGTCACGCGTCACGATCGCGGGACACTCGCGTTACCACCCAGACTTGGATTTCAATTAGCTTTGGAGGTGGCCCAAAGCTGGTGCTGCACTTGGCCCGGAGAGAGAGCGTTTGTTTCTGAGGGCCGGAAGGAGCTCGAGCTCCTTCCAGCTGGGCATCTCCAGCCTCCCAGGCAAGCGAGGCAGTGGTCCCCCTGGCGGTCGAGACTTTCGGGGATAAAGGGTGAGGGCAGTCTGTCCGGCCGAGGCACGGACCCTTTGCCCTGCCAGGCGGGGCCGGCGGCCGGCGTTCCCCAAACCACGAGCCACTGCAATGAAGCTGATTCTTCCATGCATCGCAGGACTGTTTGAGCCTCACGCGTTACGACGAGGACATCCTCTATGTGCTTTGTGGGACTCTCAGTGTCAGGATCACGGCCGACGGCCCGAGTGATGGACCTCATCACTTCGTGTTGGGCTTTGGAAAGGTGATGGGCATGGCCCGTTCGGACATCTTGTCGCCTTCCGTGTAGCGCCGCTCACGCCTGGTTCTGGAAGATATGGAGAGCGTCCGAGAGCGTCGGACGCGGGAGACCGAGCCAGGCAGAGCTTGCCTTGGTTCCTGGAGCAGCTTTTGGCTGCAGGGCATCGCTCGGAGGAGGCTTTGGTGCAAGCCCCAGTCAGACGCGGCAGCGAGCTGCTCAAAGAGCCCTGCTGGGCCACTTGAGGTGCATGCCTTCCCGAAAGTGGCCGAAGATGTGGCGGAGTTTGCCAAGGCCAAGTATATCGACATCTCATCGCCGGGCGGCCCAGACTTGATGACCAGGGTCTGGGATGCACACGTCTAGAGTCTAGAGTCTGGCGTTTTTGTCAAAGCAAACCGGACGTACTCGATGACATGCTCAATCGTACGGCAGCTTGTATGTATAGGCCAAAGCTCGCCACTAGCTTCCAGGTCGGGAGCAAGCTGCAGTGTAGCTTTCCGGCATGGGGACGAGGTGAAAGTGGCGGGGCTCTCAGTTCCCCACGTTTCCACATGCATTGGGCGACATACGCAGGCGCGACACCTTCATGCTTCAATTACGTCCCGGTTTCTGCATCGCAGGCTTGGCTTGGAGACACGCGCGTCCTGGTGGCCACGGTGTGACGCTTTGGGATTTCCGCCCGATGTGCAGCTGTAACGTCGCTGCCTGAGGTCACAGAGACGAGCCGGCGAGTGGACCTGGCCTTTGCCCCAGCGGAGGCCAAGCGGAGGCGGAGCAGAGCAGAGTCAAATGAGTCAGGTCACTCCGGCTCATACCACCGAGGACGCGTATCCGGTTGTTTTGGACGGCTGCAACTGCCACCGCATCACAAGGACGTAAAGGAGCTGCAGCGCGCGCGGAACAGTGGTGCCAAGTTGGTTCAGGTGGAGCTTCCATGCAAGCTGGAGAATTGAGCTGAGGATAGACTTGCAAGCTAACCAACTGACTCCATGTTCAAGGTCGCCGACATCAGTCAATTACAGTTGGCGTCAGGATTGCAAAGCCTCTTCCTGATAAGAAGAGAACTCCCAGCTGCATTCCAATGGTTGAATTGGAAGTCAAACGACGCGTGTCGTCAACACTGCCAGGGCCAGGCCAACGTATCAAAGACTTTGTTTTGCGTGCACAAGCATGCACATGCAGGTTTGGGTATAGTGGAGTGTTTTGTGTCGCCTCTGCTTTGCCTCTGGGAAAGCTATGATTGAGCGCTCGTTTCAGCATGAGTGTCACGGCATTGGTTTTTGCAAGAGAGTGGAAAAGAGTGAGACAGAAATAGAGCGAGAAACAGCTTCCCAGCAAGAATCTCCTTGTAGCCATGAAATCCTGTCAGGTGCCGCCGAATTCCGGTCACGTGCGGGCCGCAGCTTCTTGTTGCCCGGGCTTTGCATCGGCGAGGACATGCACCAGACACACATTTCACCGCATGCCACACTGTCCTGCGTTGAGTCGAGCTTGCGCCACCCACTGTATACGCGCGAGGTAAGGCTCTTCGTACCGGCCGGGGCCCCGGCAGAGTTCGCGAAGCTGACTGGCTAGCGGCAAGCTCCGCATTTTCGCCAGGGCGAGCGTTACCCGGGCCTCTTCGTTACCCGCGCTTTCGGGGATGTGGCCGGACAGGCGGCTTAAGGGAGCATTGGGCATCACAGAGCCTTCTGAGATTTGCAAGCGGCTTGCTGCGCTGCGCGGCAGGGTCTCGGCCTCTCTTCGCAGCCCGAGATCAGGAAGACCTCCTTCGAGAGGCGGCCAAAGGCGCCAGAGAAGCTCGGCACTGATTGCAGTGTGCATTTTGAAGGACACCCGGTGTGGTGCTGCTGGGCTCGGGTGGCTTCTGGGAAATGCTGGATGACGCAAGGCCACCACATCACGACCTGGCCGGGGGGTGGTTTTTCGCCCTGGAGCAGGCCCGGCGAGGAGGCCCTGCAGCTCTTGAGCAGCTGCCGCTTAAAAGAGTGTGGCGGGAGCCTCGAGCCTCGCCGAGCCCCGACTCACGTCTGTCCCAGTCCTACAAAAAACACCTAGACAGTCTAAGGGGATGCTTTGCTCTGAAAGGCCCGAGCTTCGCGGCCGGCAAGTTGGCGGCTGAAGCACGTTCTCGCTGGCACCAGGCCGCAAGCGGGGCGGGGCCTGGCAAGGGCAGAAAGAGCGCAGTCAAGCGCTTCTTGGCCGCCCTGGAAAGGCCGCCGAGGACTGCTCCGACGATGTCTCCTGCATCCTGCCGTGCCCCTCAGCGAGAGCAGGGCGTTTTGGGACTTGGAGAGATTCCGCTCTTCGGTCTTCGCTGCCGGAGGTTGCATTGGATGCCTGCACCAGCTCAGGGAGGAAGCCGGGACGGCCCTGGCCGTGGGCCCGGGATCGTTGCGTCGCTGCGTTGGCGTTCCCAGAAATGGATCAAGACCGTGTCTGACACAGGCAGCCTTCCAACAGCGCCGCTGGGGACTCACTTCGAGCTCAGCTTCGAGCTTCGAGCTTGGTCCCATCCTGGGTCATCATGACATCATGAGGTCGCGGCCGATGCCCCAAGAGGAGACTGAAGATGCGGTTCGACGCCTCTGACTCTTGCTCTCTGTTGGTTGTCGTTTCCGCAGGACTTGGCCCTAACTCCAGACACGTCGCTGTGTCCAAAGGCGGGCCAAAGCGAGTTTTCTGCGGCCCCGGCCCCGGAAGTCTCAATGCGCCTTCGGCCCTTCGGCTCAGGAGTTCGATCGGCAGCTCGTGAGCGCCGTCGAGGCTCCAAAGCCTCCCTCCCTGCCCTGCCTTTCTCCTCTGGACTCCCTCTCGCTGCCCTCTCTTCCAGGCCTCTTCGGGGTCCAGCGGCGCCTGGCTTCGCGAGCCGTGCTTTGGCGAAAGACGCAGCTTTCATCTCCATGCTTGGCATGGCATGGGCCTGCGCGGGTGAAGACGAGAGCGAAGCTGCAAGCTGCAAGAGTGGAGTTGGGAGCCAGCTCTGCGCTTCCAAAGGCTTTCAGACAATCGCATCAGCTTGAAACGCCTGGATGCAGCAGGACGCGTAAGGGGCATAGCATCAACGCCGTATGCACGCGTCCTGGCCGCAGGACTGGCCCAGGCACTGCCGACCTTCCAGGGTGGCCGGGCACAGGCAAAGCTACAAAGTGACATGCATGAGAAACCTCCGTGCCTTTCTTCCGTGCAAAACGTGCATGAAGGCATGCTTCTGCAGCCGCCGCGGGGTGGAGCCAAGCAAGGCCAATCGTCGCAGATAGCATAGGCTTCCGCGCATGCGAGTGGCATAGAAATCATAAGCTGCAAGGACTGCTTCAGCATCACCCAGAGAGCTGGGCGAGCACTCTACCTGGCAAGAAGCTCAGGAAGCCCAGCGCGTTGGACAATTCTGCTTGGATCTTCCAACTTCCAGGTGTGCAACGGCTTCGGCCCGGCTGGCCACATGGTGTCCTTCCGAGTGGCGCAAAGCATTCCCAAGTTCCTTTTCGAAGCCACCGAGGAGGCACAACTGCAAGAACCCCAAAGAGAGAGAAAAACTAAAAAAGGGGAGGAAGGTCGAATTCGAATCGAGTTGTTGAGCCTGTCGTTGAGAGGTGCCTGAGCAGCTCGTGGCCCGAGCTTTCCACGCGGCAGCGGCGGAGCTCAGCCACTTCGCAGCAGCGCACGTAGCGCCTCACTGCGACCTTTCGCAGTCAGGCGCCGGGATTTCCTGCGCCCATCGCCCGGGGCGGGGTGGGGCTTTGCTTGGAGGCGCCAGCGTGGCAGCGCTCCTGCGGCAGGCGGCGCGGCAGCTAAGCAGGGAAGGCCTCCCCAAACGGGTCGCCCACTCTGTCAAAACGAAGGACGACTCTGTTCACTTGGCCTGGCTCGGAGAGAGCCGGGTGCTGGTTGCGACCATTGCTGGACAGAAGAGCCCTCAGAATCCCGTAGAGAGCAAGCGGCCGCACGCAAGCGTTCTCAGCCAGTGCCTTTCTGGCAAAGGTTCAGCCGGGTGGATCTCCTGAGCCCCACACATCTGCAGCCAGACGGACTCGAGCTGTCTCGCGCTTTCGGGCACTCAGCAACTGGGCCAAAAGTGAATCAAAATGCATCCTGCTTCTGCTTGAAGTTGTTGAGCTGTTGAGGCCAGCAAGTCAACAAGGCCTGACTTGGCCAAGACCTCCTTCGACTCCACTCCGGGCCTCGTGCTGTTTCAAGCCCAACTTTCCGCGGTTGCGACTGCGCCGCAGACCGTAACTGCGGCGCAATTTGTTGAGGCTCGGCTCGGGCCAGCTCTTTGAGTCCATGTCCGGAGAGGCGCAGATTTCGTGGGGCCCGGCTGCGCAGAACAGCCTCGGCTTTCCTGGGCAGGACGCAGTGGAAGTCCTGCAAGAGACTCCTCTCACCGCAGCTGTGGCAGGCTCTGATATGCAAGCTCTCGTGAGTTGCATGCTGCTTTGGCAAAGCTGGAGGCACGGCCTTGAACAGATTGTGCGACAAGTGGCAACGGACCTGGGACGGGAAGAAGAGCCTTCTTTGCTTTCTGCTGCTGCTCGACCGCAGCGAGTCGTTCTTGTTTCAGAGGAAGCTAGAGAGGAAAGCGCCCAGCTCACAGTGGAGACACAAGCAGATCTGCCCAGGTTCTGGCCAGGGGAAGAGACTCGCTAGTAGCTCAGAGCTCGGGAGGGTCACGCGGGCACATGATGTCGTTCCGAAGGCGTTGAATCTCCAAAGTCTCCGTCGCCGCTGTCGCCTGCGATTTCTCCTTCCAGGCCACGAAACAGTCCCAGCGAGCTGTGGCACCTGTCCGGTCTTCATGACTTTCATGACGTTCATCAGGTCGGCCCAAGCTGCGCTCCTAGCCGGCAAAGCACGTGGCCGGGCTGCGTTTTCTGATCCCGGCACTGCGAACTTCCGACCTTGCTGCAAACCCCCATGCTTAAGGCTACTTGCAGGCAAAGCCCGTGAGCGGAGCGGTGGTGGGGCAGGCTGTCATGGTCTTGACGAAAGAGACGGTATACAGTGACTAACAGCAAACATCTGCAACTTTGCGAGGCCTGCCCGGAAGCTCCGACTCCTCCACAACCGGCTTCGCCCAAGGCAGCATCGTATCCGTCGTATCCTGCTTGCGGCACATACTTTGATGACAGATCGCGTGGCGAGGCTGAACCCTACTATTGCCCCAACTGTGGGACCCTCAACCCGGCAACTGCGCGGTTCTGCAAAAACTGCGGCCACAAGCGGCCCGAGGCGGGAGGAACTTCGATTGAGAGGGGTCGGAGATAGTCGGAGAGCCGGAGCGCAGGCCGCGCCGTTTGCTGCAGCGCCAGCTCCGGCCCCCTCGGCCGCCCTGGCGGCCAAGGCGGAGGCCAAGCCTCCCTGGAAGCCCAGCCGAGCGCCGGACCCTTCGAGGACGGTGGGAGCAGTCGGGGAAGGGGATTTGCTCTGCGCACAGCGGCTGTACAGAGGCACAAGCCTCGAGGCCTTGCTGATGCACGAAGTAGCAACCAGGAGCATTCCAGGCCGCAGCAAGGAAAACAGCAGAGCAGAGTGGAGACTGTCCAAGCGCATGCCAAAGAAAATCTCGAGCCTCCGCGCATGGCCAAGAGGTTCACTGCACGCAAAAAGCCGCGGGAGAAAGATCGCGAACGCGACAACTCGGAGACTACAATATCGGATACACTCTATCGGCGAAGTGTTCGCAGAATCGTCGCAGACTGGACAGCGACAGTGGCAAGCACAAGCTACCTACAGTACTTTCTTTATCTCTTGGCTTACTTGACAAGAGTGCTCAGAAAGTGTAGACAGTGTCCAATCGCGTCAAGACGCAGCCGGGGCGCAGAGCTTCGAAATGCGCCAAGAGCATCACCAAGAAGCGTGCTTGGCAAAGAGTCATACACGACTGCCGAAAAAATCTGAGGCACTTCCAATCGTGGGGCAGAAGCCTTGCGGAATGCAAGAAGAAACAGACGGCACAGCCCCGACAAAGGGGGCGTCGTCATGCTGTTCCGAGTGTCTGGAGTGAAGGAGTCGGAGCACAGTTATCAGGGTGGCAAGGGGGTTCACTTCGCTCCCTCTGTCAGGGCTAAGAACGAAAGGCATCTGCATCGGGTGATACTGGCAGCTGCAGCCGCATTTGTCAGACCACGACGGTTGGAGCCTGGAAGAAGTGCCCAGCAGCATCTGCATCTTCCCCAGAGGCCCTTCTTGGCGGCCTTGGGCAGTGCGGAGAGTGAGGCGATCAGCGGCCCTCGGATTCCGAGCCCACCCTTTGCTCCCGTGGCCTGGCTCAAAGGGCATCTGTACAAAGAGGGGGGGGAGCACTCTGAATAGTAGGGTCGCGTAGGGTCAGCGAGTGGGGTGACTTTGCTTGAGGACTTTGGACGGGAGTCGCAACAAAAAGAGAGCAACTCCAGGCAACCGCCTTGCAGCTGGGTATAGTAGGCTTCGCTCACAGGGCCTTCTGAAGAGAATTCTTAAAGGATCCTTGGTTTGGGGGGGTAAAGTGGAAGGCTGGTTCCGGACGGCTGAGGCAGTGCCGGCTCCCAGTTTGGCCGCCGTGGGAAAGCGCTTGGATGCAGCTCAGAGGCTCGTGAGCCGCAGAGGGAAACGGGATCTCCGTTCGCCGTAGTATTTTGTTCAAGCTTCTTTCATTATGACTCGGCCTGGAAATATGCATCGTTTCAGCCCAAAACGCAGCGGAAGCGCTGTGGAAGCTGTTGATTTCTGGTGTTTGGTTCAGGGGAAGGGCTGTTCGTAACAATAGAATAGTGACTAGGAGTAGGACTTGCATGATGCCTTCTAATCTGCATAGGTAAGTCATCTAGATGATCATACTTCTCCATAGTACATCGAGTAGCATGCAAGATAGCAAGGCACTACAAGGACCCTCAAACAAGCAACCCAAACCCCAATGCCCCAAGGTGCTTTTCGCACCCACCTCGCTGCGCCCTTCATAGGGCTCGTGCTTGAGCCATTCGGATTTGTGCGTGTCATCCTTAGCAGGGGTCATGCACCTGCCAGACAAGATGTGGTACACTTCTCGATTTGTGCACCTGCCAAAAGTAGGGATTGGGCCCTACAGCAACACTCCTCCTCAGCAGGGGACTGAAAGTCAGGCCACCTGCTGCTCTCAGAGTGCACAAAAGACTATCGCTGGCTAGTTGCCCACCGTCTTTCAAGAATGTCAAACACGCTTCAGTGCATGACTCAGCCTATGAGCTCTTGGCCGAGTACCCCCGTGACTCGGTCTTTCATTTCTTGTAACGAGGTGTCACAAGGTTCTTGAGGCCCAGTGGCTCACTAACGGTGTACAGCAGCGGTTATCACTAAATAAATTCCGGATTCCTACTGGACTATTCCTTCGGCAAGAATCAGACATGCAAGAACTGGACATGACATCGGCTACAACCTCTGTGCGGGACAGCAGCTTCTGTCCTATCAGCTCTTCGTGGTGTTCACGTGTGACGACAAAACTTCTACTTGAAACCGGCGCGGGAGCGAAGCTCAGCCAGCTGAAGTCTCCCTTTCGAAGCTCTTCAGGGCCCTCACGGCTGATGAAGCCTGAGAGTTTTGTATTCCAAGTCGCTGCAACAAAGTCCAGGAAGGCGGTGACTGCCGATGCCTGGCCTACCACTAAAACGTCGTCGACGTAGACTGCGGCGATGCCTATGACCTCTTGTGAGCTAACATCTCGTAGAACAAAGAGTCCTTCTTCATCTGGAACCAGCTCTGCCACAAAGGATCCTCCATCGTAAGCAAGCTCCTTGCCATTGATGGTGTCGTCCCTTAGCTTGCTCCAAGCTCTCGGACTCCTCCTCAAACCATATATGTGCTTGCGCGCTCGCCACAACACATTAGGCTTGACTAGGCCTAACCGCTTTAGAGTCGAAGGTGGTTCTAAAAGCACGATGTCGTCGTCATCAAGCTTCGAGTTCAGGAAGGCCAGAGACACGTCTCCAGATGCGGCCACCCACTCAGGGTGGGCACTCAACTCATGTCCCATGATACGAAGTGCAGCTGGACTGACGTTCTGCGTCGTGACCTCTGCCCCATCCTAGGCCTCAAAGTTGCCACAGGCACAAAGACGGACTTTGGCTTTCCAAGGAGGCTCTCCTTGGACCTTCGCGTTAGACTCCTTACCAGTCTCCTCCTCGGGCTTGCGCGACGTCACCAACTTGGTAGGCAGTGGACGTGGAATCTTCACCCCCGGTGCAAGACCGAGATCCTGATGCAAATTGTCACGGGATACTTCTTCCAAGACTTCCATGTTTTTCATGCCCGTCATCTCCGCCAATGCCCCGCCGTACCACTTATCTCTATCCTCCTGCGATCCTTCGAAGAAGACTCTACAATCCGTTGGTTCCGCCGACGCCTTCATAGCAGCAAGTTCGGTCATCAAGCGAGCCTGCTCATCCGCTTGGGCCTCCTCGTCCGCGGTGTCAAGCTGGTACCCCCTTGGTTCTGCAGGCTCATGCTCCAACCTCTTTGCGAGGCACGCAGCCGAGGAGAGCCCACACACTGTGCACGATTTGCCTTTCAACCATGCGCTCTGCATCAAGGATTTCGGCTCCGAAATGTCTGCTGATTGCTTGCTTCGTGCTTGACAACTGATTGCTGTGCTATGGCTCATTCCAAGGAACGGACTGGCATGATCATGATCGTCTTCCTGAATTCGTTTTCGGATGATCGTGGCGGCTCCGGCTTCGTGATCAACTGCTTCTGGGCCTTCCAATCTTTCTTCAAGCGTTACGATCTCATCTGGATGTGGTTCCGTCCACCTAGCTGAACCATCACGAGCTACCCACACTGCCACGTCCTCATCAGGACTAAGCAGCTTTCGCCAGTGTTTCGGAGCTGCGTCCAAAGGCTCCGGCAATCGAGTAGTCATGATCTTGGTTCCGGCCTCCGTGTCCACAATGACTTGGGATCCATCCTGCATGGATTCGTCTACACATAGAAAAACTCCTTCTCGCACTCGAGGAGCAAAAGGCTCTGCCCCCTGAATACGAACACCAACGGGATCACCAAAAGTGGGCATACCAAGTGGAGGATCTTCCACAATCGCGCTCAACCGAAGTTCATAAGTTGCTTGCTTCACAGCATATGGCCAAAACGATCGTGGCATGTCCGCGTGCAAAAGAAGACTTGTGGCGCGCTCCTTGATGGTTTGCACTTGCCTCTCAGCTCTGCCGTTCGCCTGAGGGTCATATGCCGATGAGCACGTTTTCCAAACGGCATCCTTAAACAGATGTTCCACGACTTGCGAAGCGACGAATTCCTTTCCACCGTCCGAATGCACTCTCACAGCCGCTGTCGGGTCCTCAAACTCTGCCCTCACCTGCAGAATGATGCTCTTCATGTTCCGCAGTGTTTCTTCAGCCTTCTTAGATTCTTGAACACGCACATACGGAAGTGTCTTCTTATCTGCAGTAATGTACGCGCCGACCAAGAAGTACAAAGAGGCATCCCTTCCCCGAACATGTGGGCCAGAGAGATCAAAGCTGAGCACAGCTGAGCTCACCTGAGCTGCTGCAAGCTTGTAGTGCGCCTTCCGATGTCCTCTACTGCCCTGGCACTGAAGACAGTCCTTCTGATAGGACGAGTGTACAACACAGGAGGCGCTGCCATCAAGGCCGGACCTACCTAAACCATCCCTGAACTCACCGGTCTGATGGTCCTGCACAACACTAAAACCAGCCTGAGCTTCACACACATCCTGCCAAAACTCACAATGCCCTGAAGGTTGGTCCAACTTGCAAGTTTCAGGACGATTCTCGGAGTACGGTTCAGGCTGGGGGCTAGATACAGGATTCTGGTGTGTCTGATGTTGCTGAGTCTGTGTCGTGATGTTTGCTGTTGCGCCTCCGGAGCTGCCGCTTTCTTCTGATGATGTCACAATCTCCACTGCCGCCTGGGGTTTTGCACACCACAATAGCTCCAAAGGCAATGGGAAACCCATGTCCACCAGCTGCATCAACTCTGACTGCGTCAACCTCTTAGCTCCAGTCGTTGAGTGACCATTCAGGACCACTCGCCTGCCCTTCCACTCTTCAGTGCCATGCCAGCACTTCGGTGAAAATCTGAAGCCCTTACCTCGAATCTCAACTAGCTTGCCCAACAAAGCATGATCCGGTCGAACCTGACGTAGCTCCTGACCCTGCGGATCTTCAATCCACAACCTTCCTCCGCTAGGCATCTCCTCCTTGGAAGATACACACACCAAGAAGTTGTCACTTCCTGGCATGTTGTAGCCGTCTTTGTGAGGTACAAATGTGACGTTGTCATTGATGATGATGCTTGTCCAAGTTCCGGTGGGAAAAATTTTACGTAGGAATGCGTTGATCAATCTGGTCAGACTCGGCCTAGCCCTGCACTGCTTGGACAAACCCTGGCAACCACCATGTGTCCATGCGCCCAAAAGCCAAGATTTGACTTGTGCTGATTTGTCCTGCACGCAACTACGGTACCTCACGACCGGCTTCAAGCTACTACTCCGAAGAAGTTGCATGATATTGGCATGTGTCCATGCCTTCGGCCCCTTCTGTAACAGCGCTCCCGCTGCTTCTTCATCTCGGATCAATGCTTCATGCGTGCTGACTTGTGGCTCCTCCTGAGCCGTATCGGCGTGAACTGCAGCCACTGTGGTTGTCACCAGGTCCTTAGGCGTCTCCTGCGCAACCCCTTCACACGCTCCCGCCTCTACCGTGGACACCGTGGCGTCATACGGCACTCGATGCTGCTTCCACCACTTTGACAACAACGGACGCAAGCGCATGAAGGTACCCCTGTCGAGGTAAGGCAAACCACCGTGAATTTCCAATTGAACCCACTCACCTATGAAAGCAGAATCCTTCGGCAGCTGCAACCAAGCACCTTCGTCACTCCACACGAACTTGCATCCAACAGCTGTCAGCCTACACACTCCCGCAATGACCTCGGGACCCGTTCCTGGAATGATCACTTCACCATCCCTGGTTCTCGAGGCCTCAATGGTCTGACTGTCGGCTAACAACAACTCCAGGGGCATGGATCTAGGTGGAGCCTTAGCAGCCTTTCGGAGGACCTCGTTTGCACCAGTATCCAAAAGAACATTAGACCCGTCACCCAGATTACCAACAGCACACACCTTTCGCGCTTGTGACCTATGTTCGAACTCAAGGATTCTTGCTCGCAGATGGAGGAGCCGTCGTCTGGCTGGCTCGGGGACTGTGGCGAACTCTTCTACATGGAGATACATCAAGTCATGCAGAATCTCTACCCCATACGTGTCAAACATGATCCAACCCTCAGAGAAATCCACAAGGCTTAGCAGTTGCTGCAAGGGCATGCGCAACACATGTGTGATGTCGGCGGCAACTGCTTCAACCAATGTGTCATGATGGCCTTGCGCTGTACGCTGAAACTGAGGGGCTCCAACAGATGAAGTTGATGCTACGCTAGGTCCTGTGGTCCTGACGCGTGGAGGCTGAGGGGCCTCAACGATAGCCAAGAAAAGCTCATTATGATCATCTTCATCAACGAGCCAGGCGACAAAACCCTTTCTGGCAACATCATCATCACACATCAGCAAAATGTCATAAGCAACTGCGATACTCTGCGCTTCTCCAATGAGCAGATCTCGAACCGGCATTCGTTCCGCTCGCTCCAAAGCCCACGCAACTCCTACTGCAACATCCCTACCCTCCGTGACTTGCACAAAAGGCCTAGAGCTCATGATGACTTCACCGCGCTCCCAGTGCTGAGCCCATGTGTTGAACTCCCTAGGATTCAAGTGCAAACGCCAAAGCTGATCCCGCTCTGCTCGGTGCAACCTTGCGTCCCGCATAGCATCCGCAAGCTCATCAACTAGATCATGCTCACTTGACAAAAGACTCTGAGTGCTATCAGTCGAAGCAACCGTCCCGGCATTTGACAGTGCCTCCAAGTCTGAGCTGTCCTCATCGCTAGAAGAAGAACTGAAATCACTCACCGGATTGCTTTGTGCCATCATGATCATGGAAGTCACTGCTGACGCCTTGGCCTTGGCCTTTGGTTTAGCCTTGGGTTTACCCTTTTGTCCTTCATCATCATTTGCTCCAACCAATGCTGTGGCATTAGGTGCTGCTGCAGCCTTGGGCTTAGGCTTATGTTTCTCGTCGTGGGAGAAAGGACAGTTTTTCCGATAGCATCCTGCTTCACCCCAAAACCACTTGCAAGGCTTGTCCTTCCTTGCATCAATGTTTGACTCCTTGGGTTGCGATTCTCCTGCTCCTTTGCCCTGATTTGCGCTGCTCTTTCCTTTGTCCTTTCCCTTGCCTCCTTTGTCCTTTCCTTTGCCTCCTTTGTCCTTTCCTTTGCCCTTGGCTAACACCGAAGACTGTTGCTCATTCTTGTTTGCCTTCAGCTGTTCGTCAGCTGCAAGCTGACGCAATTCCTTATCCAACGTTTCGAGGATCATCTGAACTCCTAGTTCCGTGGGACGCTGGATGTCCGGAGACAGCTTGATGAGACTCATCCTGGTACGTAATGAATCGCTTCGCTTCTCAATGTGCTTTACTAGCGTACATAGAGCTCTCATCGCTTCAGACGGGGCTGTGCTGGGAAGATTCAAAGCTGCTGCGCGCAATCTGGCTAGCTTCCACCTACGGATACTCTCCAAAGCATCTCTAGCTGATTGGGCTGGGTCAAGGTTGCGCATGTATCGCAACAAACTTGCAACTTCTTCTTGGCCTCCAGGTTGAACTTGATGCACCAACTCCTCTAACAATGACAGTGATGTAATCTTGTTCTCTGCATCTTCAACTGCGCTGTCTTTGACCTCTGCTGGAAGAATCCGCATCAAGCTAACCACCAATCGAGCCTCATATGTCTCAAAGCATGCTTCAAGCTTTGGGGCCTCAGCAATGGGAGCTCCAGACATCCGGCTCTCATGTCTCTGGTGTGCCAAGTGAAATCGATCCTCAACGAAGGTTGCAAACTCCGGTGCAACCGTCGTGCAAACCGCCAGGATTTGTCGTTTCCATGTTGTGAAACCCAATCCCAGCTCCCAGGGTTCCCCTGGTTCTTGATGATACTTTGGAAGATCCGTCAAACATTTCCACTTTCCGTTCGGAATCTCGGGTGCCGACTTCCGATTTCCAGGCCTTGCGCCAGGACTCGGTGACCTTCCTGAGGATGTTCTCCTCCTGGATCCTAGACCAGGTGGAGGAGCAGTGAGACCCCATGGATTGAGAGGATCAACCTCTGTTCTTCCACGTTCCCACGTGCTCCAAAGCTCTGGCTCTTCTCCAGTCTGATCCCACCAAGCGGAAGAGGCATCTTGAACCCCAAAGCTAGGTGCCTGATCAGCGTTGGGCGTCAGCTCAAAATGCACTGGCTCGCGATCGTTCTGTGCGGGCATCGGATGCAATTGAGGTGACTGTGTATCCCGATGAAAGTCCTTCGAAGTTGTACCCCCTAGCTGAGCTTCCTCCAACTTGTCAGGGCCTTCCTCGATAGCGCTCACTCTCTCATCAAGCCTGTCTATTTCGGTCTGGACCTTGGGTAACACATCAGCTCGAAATTGCTCCAAACTGTTGTGTAGGCCCTCACCTTGTTCACGCTGCTGCGTAGTCAACACAGCAAGCTCCCGATCGACCTTTTCAGCCAAGACTTGCACCGCTCGTGCCAGTGAAGCTTGATCCCCGGGTTCACCCTTCAAAGGTGCATAAATCTCACGCTCTTGGGCATCCAATCTGCGCTTATGCTCTTGCATGCTCATCAGAGTGTATTTCACAGACTCATCCAGCTCAGCAACTCTACCAGATAGGGCTTCTACCTTCGCCAGTAAGCTCGCCTCTCTCTGCAAGGATTCGTCTAGCTTGTTCTTGACCTGCTGCTCCTCTGCACCTCGTTCTTCTAGGTAGCTCCTAAGGTCATGTTTGATCGCCTCGATTTGTGTGCGCGCATCACGACGATCACTCTCCCGGCCTTCCACCAGGGATTGCACTGCAGCTTGTTGTCTAACCACCGCGTCCCGAAGCTGATCCAGGCTAGCAGTTAGCACTTGACAGCCTGCTTGCAACTCTCCAACTGATCCCCCAACCGCTCCCACTGCCCCAGCGAGAACTTCAGTACGGTACTGGATGCGAGAAGAAAGCTCTATGACCGCGGCCTGGATGTCAGCCGCAAAACTCAAATCCTCACCAATACTCGTTCCAAAGGCTCGCAGCGTTTCAGCAGGTATGCTAATGCGAGTCATCTGTTGAAGCGTCACCTGCCCTCCAAGCTGCTGCTGTTCTGACGCTGCTTGCAAAGTGGCTGGTGCAGATGCTGTTGTTGATGATGCAGTGTCATGCGTAGTTTCGAGAGGGTTTGGACTCATAACCTGTTGATTTCTGGTGTTTGGCTCAGGGGAAGGGCTGTTCGTAACAATAGAATAGTGACTAGGAGTAGGACTTGCATGATGCCTTCTAATCTGCATAGGTAAGTCATCTAGATGATCATACTTCTCCATAGTACATCGAGTAGCATGCAAGATAGCAAGGCACTACAAGGACCCTCAAACAAGCAACCCAAACCCCAATGCCCCAAGGTGCTTTTCGCACCCACCTCGCTGCGCCCTTCATAGGGCTCGTGCTTGAGCCATTCGGATTTGTGCGTGTCATCCTTAGCAGGGGTCATGCACCTGCCAGACAAGATGTGGTACACTTCTCGATTTGTGCACCTGCGGTACACTTCTCGATTTGTGCACCTGCCAAAAGTAGGGATTGGGCCCTACAGCAACAGAAGCAATCGGTCCGCGGAAGCTCCACATATTACATGTCATGCCGCAGATAGGCTTTACGGACCGAAGCCCGAAGCCTATGAGCCTTTTCAGATGTGCTGGCTTGTGTCTTCGCGCGCCTTATGTATGCATCAACAGTCCACTTGGTTCTCCTTTGTCACAAGCTATATGCGTAGGTTGCCCAAACACAAAGCCTCCTCAAGACTTCAGCCGGCACTTGCGGAAGCAAGCCCAGCAAACTTGCGGAAGCGGGACGCGGAAGCGATGTGAAAGTTGAGGCTCGCGGAGGTTAAACCCACGCGAGCAGACGCAAGCGGAAGGTTTCTGCGGAAGGGCTTCCGTAGGTTTCTCTCCACACAAGCAGGAAGAAAAAACCCGCAGCTCTGGTGTCGCCGCCTGCTTTTCCTGCTCGGCCCATCTCCCTCTCCGCTGTTCCGCTACTTGACTCCCTTTCGAAGTGCTATCTGATCTCGCTGCGGAGTTGTCGGGAAACTAGCAGATGACACTGGGTTTCGATTTTGCCCAGAGTCTTAGGTTCTGGCAGCCAGACGGCGCCAGTTCACGTCGCAAACAAACGGTTCGGCGTGTGATGGCGCTGGCATGCATATGAGCTGCCCTTCCCACCATTCCACAGAGTCAACAGCAACGCACAACCACCAAAGGGCAGGCTCTGCGGGGGTTGTGGCCAGCGAAGATGGCTTTTAAGTTGAGGGCCGTGTGGGTTCACAGCACGTCTGTCCAGGTACGCCTTGGCAGCCGGCAGCATTCTGACGCCACAGTTTGCCCCCGCTCCTTGACGTGTGCACGCTATCAGGTTTCTGCTCACTGCATCTGCGTTAAGGTCCGCCCGAATTAGGGCTTCGAAAATCGATGAGTGAAACTCCGGCAAGCGCCGCAGAATTCAGCACGCAACGGACCGAGCCATCCAGGTGAGGCCTTTCAGCGCTCGACACCCTGCGTACGGCGCAAAGTCGAAGGCTCAACAAGCCGCCTTCGATGCGCTTGCGAGATGCGCGTTATGCTTTCCAAGTTGGCAGAAACTGGCAGCTAGCCAGCTGCAAGATACCACCAAACTGCTTTTGTGCATCTCGCCAAAGATTCGTAGAAGTGCGGGCGCCGGGTCTCCAACATGGCTAAGCCGCAATGCGGAGCATGGAAAAGTTGCCGAAGCTCTGCCACAATTTGTGAATTGCTTTTCCACAAGAAGCTTGTGACCTTCTGCGCCGGCTCACACTGTGCTTTGGCAGCGTTGCGTTTGGCCTCGCGGGTCCGGCGGGTCCCCGGGTCTTTGGCCCGCAGCCGAGCAGCCAGGAGAGCTCAGCCGCTCAGCCAGCCTTTTGCGCCTTTCTGGGGCTCAGAGACTCCTTGGAGGATGCAAAGACCCGGGCTCGAAGACCCGAGCTCGAGCTCTTCCGCGCCTAAATCAGGTCCGATCGCTGGACCGGTTCTTAAGGCATTCTTGATGCTCCAGTCACGAGGCCTCGATGTGGCCGCCACGGAAGCCCGATGTGAGAGCAGCTTCGAGTGGCCCAGCCCTCAGTCCTCAGTGCCACTTTGCACTCTGGGGGGCACCGTAGCAAAAGCAGTTGGAGGCTGGACAGACAGCTGGAGACCAGCTATGGCCGGGCCGTTGCCGGCATGGTTGCACTTTGGGTCCTAGGCCGGGCCGCATCGCAGAGCGACGCAGAGAGACTCTTTCGCGACTCGTGCTCCTCATCTCAGGCTGGACCTTGATGCAGATGAACATGTGGCGGGAGCCAAAGCCTCGAAATACCGGAGGGGAATGGTGGCTTTGCGAGGGCTCAGATTCAGATCGCAGCAGAGTTGTTTTGCTGTTGTGGGGAGCTTCTAGTGTAGTGACTGTAGCTCCTATACAGTTGCCTACGTCTCATGAAGCGCTATCCTGCGAGTGTCGGCAGCTGTCCGAGTCGTTTCGGTTCAGTGCTCGTTCGGTCTTTTGTTTTCGAGGCTGACCCCAGTGTACCGGGAGACCTCATGCGGCCGGCAAGAGTCCACGCTGAACGAGTTCAGGGCGGAGACCTCAAAGCACCGGCAGAGACGGCAGGAATCGGGGCGCGCGCTTGCGCCTCGCAGAGGGTGCTTGTGTCCCGAGTTGGGCGTAGATGAGATCTACGTGGACCTGCAGATCAGTGTGCCGGGGACCTCTGGCCTCTTCCCGCCCGGGGGCGGCGGCGCAGGGCAGCAGGGCATGGGCATGGCGCTTCCTGCGGTGAAGGCACTGCCAGAACCCGAATGCTTACAAGATCGACATCCTGGACTCCGAGTCCGAGTCCCGACAAAACGCAAGGAAGAAGGGAAGAAGCGCCGGGGCCCAGGCCGGGCATCGTCCAGATCGTCGCCGGAGCCTTCGCCTTAGCAGAAAGCAATCAGAGAAGTAGCCTCTGACATGTTCTTCCGGCGCTTCCTTGGCTTCAGGGAAGGCCGCAGGACCGGATCGCCGAGCTCTCAGCCTTTCCTTTAAAAAATCACATTGCCTTTGCACATGTTCCAATGTGAACATGGTTGTACTATGAATCCCCGCAAACCTCGTCTGACTTGTCGAGCACGAGTGACAAAAAAAGGGCCGCACCCACCCTTTCAGCGGGCGCGCCTTGGCAGCGAGGACGTGGGCCGGCTGAAGGTGAAGCCCGGATCCAGCCTGTCTCGCTACGGGAAGGGGCCAGAGCCGGCCTGTTACCTTCAAGTCTTCCAATCCCACCTTCGATATTTGTTCCTGGTTTTTTCTCTGTGCCAGGAAGGTCTTGGTGGACATGAACGCCACGATCCAGAAGAATATCAGTGAACGGCTTCTTCCAGTCTTCCTGAATGCCTGGGTCTCATCAACATCTGACCGTCTGGATCTGTCTCGAAGACTCGAAGACACCACACGGCCACTCTTTGGCTGGGCCCCGCGAGCGCGTGGCGAGGCCCAGGAGATCCCCATCCTCATGCAATTGCGATTTCAAGTCGGGGCGCGGTCCCGAGCGTCGCGGCGCTTGCGAGTGCTGATCACTGCGCTGTCCAAGTTCGCAAGTGGGCAGTTGGTTGGCCATAGGTTATAGGATTTGCACTGCCGTGCTGAGATACGGCTTTTCTTCGGCTTGGGTGGGAGCTGGCAAGCCAGGGCACCCTTCAACAAGGCGAGGGACCGTGCGCGGTGCAAGGCTAAGGCCTGCCCAAAGACGACTTGCGAGGCCTGCGGCCTGCAAATGATGGGAGTTTTGGTGAACTCCTTCCAGCAGGAGAGAAATCACGGCCCACTGATCGTCTGTGCAATCGGTGTGCCCTTTCCAGGACAGAGATCGCAGCCGCTTGGGGCCACTGGTCTGCGTCGGCCTCTGACGTGTTTGTAGGCTTCAAGGTTTTGAATAGGACGGGAGCGCAGGCGACCTGTAAAAGCCTGGCCTCGGTCGCCGTATGATGGCTTCCTCGCAGTCACACTTTCGATCGTCGAGTCTGAAGACCTTGCACACGACTGTCCGAGTCTGAGGCAAAGACACCTGGGAAGAACTCCTCCGTCCCGGAACCATCCCTGCGGCTACAGAGGCCGACTAAGAGACACAGAGATACGCATCAGGGGTGGGGGGCACGGGGAGGCAACAGCTAGGCTTCTCTCATCCCCGAAAAAGGCAACAGAGAGCTTGAGGATGCGGATCGTGGAGGGGGTAGGCCTTCGAGCCAGGCTTCTTTCGGGAGCCCACACTCCAAGCAAGCACGGAAGACACACAGCAGGGTGAGTGGGCCCGTAGAAGTTGTCCACAGCGTCATAAGAGCATCCGCAAGTCTTCAAATGCCGGTTTCCCGAGCGCAGCAAGCTTTTGCTTCTTGTCACAAGATCTGTGTAGCCCTAGTGGCGTGAGGATGTCCGAATATGTGCAGGCACGGGCCGTCGATCGCATGGACTTCGCAGCGGCACAGGTAGCCCCTCTAGAGGCATGCGGCACGGGGCTTGGGTGCGATGTTTTATTCTGCATATATACATTGTGGTGTCCTGGCGGTGTATGTACATATATACATATATACACCATATACACGTCTCTCTTATTGTTTTATGCGCATTCGGGGTCACATTCCCGGGCATTAACAAAGCAATTGAATTAGCGTATTTGCAAGCAAGTGTTTTGCAGTTTCCCACCTGACGGAACGAAGCTTTAAATATTGTTTGAACATTGCTGAGGGCCTTTCTTTCATTTCTGTGTTTTTGATCAACAACAGGGATCAGAAACCATATGAATTAGAGGGCAATGCCTTCATTCGTTTGAAGGGCTTCTGAAGCGAAGCAGTTGGAAACTTGAAGGTTAGATAAATCCAAGCAAGCTGGACTTCGTCGCATTTGCATGGCTTGGCCACGCAACAAAAAGTTGTTTGCTCGCAATCTAGAATTGCTGAAGCAGAAGTCAAAGACCGTCCCGCAGCCTTGCTAGCCACTACTTGCGAGTCGAAATGAGCTAAAGACAGGCCCTGAGCTGGTCAGGAGGATTGAACAGAAATTCAGGCAGTTTTACATGTCTGAGGCGTTACAGAAATGCAGCGAATCTCTACAATTTCATTGGTCTCACTGCGATATTTGTGATATCTGGGAAGTCGGCCTAAGTCTTGATTTGTTCTCCTTTGGTAACAAGCGTTCCAAGCAAGACTAAAGGACTGCTTTCAGCTGGCACGGAACGCAATTATTGAATTTTGAGAAATTATCTGAATGTCTCAAGTGTCTTTAATTTTGCTGCGAAACTTGAGAAATAGATTCAATAATAAACCCATGTAGCTTATCGTTGCCTTTTCTCCTGTCGCAGGTGCAAACGGGCGAGTTGGCCCTGTTCTCAGCTGGCTCAACTCATGGCTGGTGCAATTCGGCGACCGAAAATGTAGTTCGAAGAGGCAAAGAACGTTAGCTTCAGCATCCTTGTCGTGTGCTCGTGCCTGATGGCCAGCATTTTTATGCCTATGCCTCGGATGTCTTCGATGTGAGCGAAAAGCGCGGGATTGCTGGACTCCGCTGGACGTGAAAGGTGGATTTCGAGATACGGGAAGGTTCCGGATGAGTTGAGGACGCTGCGCGTGAAAGCGGTGCAAATGGCGCTGTCCACCTTGGCGGGGAGCAGCATGCAGTCCAGCGTGCCAGGCCGACTCCTCGGGTCGGGTGTCACACAAACACCGGCAGGTTTGGGGCAGCAGTCAGCAGCTCTGTGTCAGGATCTGCACCCACTCTGGCTAAATCCAAGTCCAGTCCACAGCCGCTCGGATTAGATTCGAGAGTTTTTCTACCGCAGCAGATCCTGGACCGCAACTCTGTAGATCAGCACCATGCTTGTTCCCTTCACAACTTTGCTGTTGTTCACATCAGCAAGTCTCCGCCCAGGTACCCCTCCGATGTGGGCAGCCTTTCCCAGTCTGCCAGGGGCTCCGGTGAAGTGCAAAAAAAAGAGACCATGCGTCGACTTGGGCCCCACTCTTCAGGTGGATCCGGCTCCCCTTGTGCAGGTCAGGGCCTCGGGCCTCGTTTTGCCTTAGAGCAGAAAACCTGGGAGGTTCCCGAGGAGGATGTGGAGGAAGGAGACGACGGGGAGTCTTGGACCCGTCCCAGCCACCGAAGGGACCTGAACCGCGAGAGGGCTAAGACGGAGGCTGGGCCCGAGGATCCTCGCAGAAATCCCAGGATCCCTGCTCTCTGGCAGACCATGGCCGCCGAGATGAAGGCTCACTTTGGCACTGGCCCTGCTGGCGCTGCTGGCACGGGCGAGTCCTCCAGCTCCAGATCGCGAGGCTTGGCCTTCCGCGCCACTCGGACGAAGAGAACGTCGACAATAGCTTCAATAGCTGCCTCCGACTCCCTGCATGGCTAAATGAGGACTCCTCCGTGGAGAGGCGCCCGGCCCGGAATGCACGGGTTGCTCTCTGTGAGATCGTCGAGACACGTCATGGGCAAGGCCAAGATCCTTGTCCAAAGGGCTGATGCCTCCCGTCGGCGGCCAAGGGCAAGGGTGGCCCCTGCAGGGTGTCGGTGACGTCTTGGTGTCTTTCCCATCTCAGGATCGCCAGAACTCGCCGGGCTCCCAGTGCAGGATGCAAGGCCATCCTTTTTGAAACCTGCTACTGCAATATGTGCAAATAAGCAATAGGCGGTCATAATCGGTCATTCAGCTCTTTCCACCAGCAACAACAACAAGAGCAAGCGAATGCCAGCAGGCTTTGTTCAAAGGCAGAGAGGGTTGCCGACCTTCCGAGGATGGCATCTGCAGCCACTTCGGACATCACTCGGGGACGTCAGAGCAGCCAGTCTCCCCCAAAGCGCCGGAGCCGAATTCGCAAGAGCCTCAGCAGCGCATCGTAGCAACGAGACTCGGCGTCTCTCCCTCTTCAGGTGCAGATGAGCGCAAAGGAAGCGACATTGGCTCCTTTGACGGCCTTTCTCGTGCCCTTTGGCACAACAGACACCAGACAGATCTCTCTTCAAGTTCTCTTCTTCTTCTTCTTGTTGTTGCGCTCCGCGTTTCTGCGTGTGCAACTGCCAAGTATATATAAAAGTTCTGCGGCCACCGCGAGGCCACGTCGCGTCGTTCCGGGCAGGCGCGGCGCGGCTCGGCCCCTGGGCCCACACGGCCCGCCCCCACCGATGGCTGGGGGGGGGGGCCCCGGGCCCCCACACAACATGAACTCAAAAGCAGCCTACTAGACTCAGTCTCTAGACATGTCTAGAGATCAAAATTTTGCGCCAGATGGGACGAAGCAGTTCGCCACGACGACGGGGCGAAAGCGATTTGGGCAGCGACAAGCCCGCAGCTCAGATCCGCCGACTCTGCAAGGAAAAAGGCGCCGGGGCCGCGCGGCAACGCTTTCAGGATGAAGTCTCGCTCCCCATCAGCGCCCGGAGCACAGCCGCGGCAGCATAGCAGCGCAGCATAGCAGCGCAGCATAGCAGCGCAGCATAGCGCAGCCTGGCCTGAACAGTTGAACAGTGTGAGGTTGCGAAAGTCCTCGCCTGCCTACGATACGGAAGTGGACCAAATGGAGGAGGGGACGCGGACACCGCCTGAGCCAGATCGAAGCCATGGCTAAGTCTTGGCTCTCTGGAGCCTCAATGCACGAATTCAGCCTAAACCCTGGCGACCCTAGCACTGGCACTGCGAGACGCGTTGGCCCAAGGCCCAGTTGCCACGAAGTCTCAGATTTGCCACAGCCATCTTTGCTTGGCCTCGAGAGTCGAGTGGTGAAGTTCAAACGCCCAGGTCCTCCAGCCGTCAGCCGCCCCGCCTAAAACAAGCAACCACCATTTCTTCCACCATCCCCAGGAGCCTGCAGAACAGCTTCTGCCCGTTTCTCTGTGTAGGGCGAAGCTGGAAGGACTAGAACCGAGGGACTTTTCACCCAACGTGCCGTGCACGATCCCTCGGGAGCCTTGATTTGACTCCACATATGGAAGGGAACATTTTCTAATCGGTTCTGATGGCTTCATGTCGCTTCGAGGTTGAGGCTAGGGCCTGTCCAATTACAAGACTGTTATTCTTATAATCCTTACTCGTCGTGAGGGATGCGTCTGCAGTCACCGTGCACAACGTGCGCTTTGCCGCCCAAATGCCGGAAGGCATGTTGGGAAGGCAATTTCCCGTCAGAGCGACAAAGCGGCAGGGAGTGGTGAGCCAGTTCCGCACAAGATTCGGTTTGTTGGTGTGAGGACGACTATGACTACGCAAAGGAGACGAAAGGACTGCCAACAGATCACAACAGCTACCGGTAGCCTCCGAAACCCAAGCTTGGGCACTCGCCCTCGCGTTCACTTGATGGTTGCCAACGGCGCGGCTGAGGCGCTCAGCCTTCGGAACATGGCAGCGCCGCCAGACTGGAGTTATTAAAGCGTAGAGGTTCAGCATACGATCGCAAAGATCGACCGGCGCATTGCCGCATAGCCAAGACCCCCAGCAGATCCCGACACAATCTGCGGCAGAATCCTTAGCTTCGGTCATAATGCCAAAGTTATTGGCTTTGTCCCAGTCCCCAAAGCCCCAAGTTTCAAGACGATGGTCTGCATCCTGACACTTTCCAATAACAGCTCTTTCTTTGATCCACTGGCTTTCCCAGAACATTTCAGGGGAGCTCAGAAGACAGAATGTTCGAAGATGGAGACCGCAACGACCATACCATGTCCGTCGAGAGCATACCTGTATGGGTCCTATGAGTTTCACATGTAGTTCTCGGTTTATGGCAGCGCTCATCACTTCTATTCCATCCGTAAGTCCGGTGCAACGACTTTCGTAGGCGCGCAGCCTGCAACGACAGCTGTCCGGCAGCCAGGTTTACGTCTAACTAGATGTATGTCGTAGTGTTCATGTAAGTCGTTTAAGTCGGGATGTTCGCAAGTTGTTGCAATGTTCGATGCTAGGGCCGGTGAGCAGCATTTGCAGTAGAGAATTGCGAGACATCTTTTGTCACGGTGCTGCTGGGCAAATTCAGATGATTGCAGAGTTTCCTGGAAGGCCGTGGACAGAGGACCAAAGTACCAAGATCTGTTTGCTGTTTTGGGCTTCTCGTCTGTCAAGTCTGCACTCATACTACGTGGCTTCGTCAGTTCGCTTCGCTCGAGTTTTCCTTTCGCAGCGCGGGCTAAAGTACAGAAGTGGGCAAGTTGCAGAGAGTCCGGGGTCTGATACGCTCGCATGGTGTGAAGCCTTGGCATGCCTATGCTAATCGGCACCTGAAGCTTCAGGGTTTCGAGTCGCGGAAGCGCCCCCGCCCATCTCAGTGGCAAGGAGGGGCGAGGAGGAGGCAGAGAGAGAGAGAGAGACCTTTCCCTCTCCTTGGCAACTTGGAGGTCCAGGCCTGCTGCGGCGCTCGGACCATGGAGAAGCCAAAGAGGAGCCGGGACCTCGGACCCACTCGGACCTCGGACCCGGTCTCAGGCCCCGCTTCCGAGCATGGGCGGCCGTGCTTTCAGCCCAGGTCGATCCAGATCGCGCGGAGGCGGAAGGGAGCCGACGTCACAAACCTATCGTCTAACCTTCACAGAACCCGTACACCCACCCGCTGCCTCACTTCACCCTAAAAGCCCGTACTCCCTCTTGGCCCCGAGTTCGCCTTGTGAAGTGCTTTTCTGCTCGAAGGAAAGTAGCACCCCAGTGCTGGCCCTTTGCTGGCCGTTTCAGAACCCACCTCCCATGGGAAGGTGGCAAAGGAGTGCTAAACCCCCGAACACAGGGGGAGGTGCTTCTGGAGCTTCTGGAGAACAGACTGGGCATGCTGGGCGCTGGCGTCACTCCCGACAAGGGACAGATTCTGAAAATGCGAGGCAAGCCTCACACGTCGCAGGCACCTGCCTCAGTTGAATGTTAGATGGGGCAGCGACCCCAGCATTGGCAAAGACTTTCCGTAACGTGAGCCTTGTGCCCCCAAAAAAAGCGTTATAGAAGGCCTGGTGATATTTCTGACCGTGCAACAGCTGGCCTAGACCTCCGCCAAGGTCCTTAACCAGGCCCGTAGCATGTCCGTGTAGAGCCCCAGCAAGCCCATAGGACACCTGTTGCAATGCTGAGACTGGATGCAGCAGACCATTCCTTGTTGGGCATGAAGCCCCGGAGTATTGCCGTCAGTGTTCTCTTCTTGATAGCACGCGCCCAGTCAGGAACACTTGGACGAGTTCCTATGGTCCTGTAAATAAATATCAAATCAGGAACAGTTTGTCAATGTGTGGCTGTTTACGTTCCTCCACAAGCGGCTCCAAACCATCAAAGTCCGAGCGGTGTTGAACACACGTAAATATACATTCATATAAGTTCATATAAGCGTGTTTGTACGTCTCTATACCATACAATACATCATATCATATCGCATCGTAACGTATCATATCACCGCATATTAATTCAGTATAATATTGATTATGGAATGTATGTGATTTTGTATCAATATGCTATATAACATATGTTGACTATTATATGCGAAACCGCAACTACCCACAGGCAATCGATCAATCAACGCATATATGTAAAATACAGTATATGTATATACTACAGCGACAGCGCCGGGTCAGAAACACTTGTTTTTTTCGTGAGGGGGGTCTCGACTTCTCATTTTGCAGCGCGCCTAAGACGTTTCGGGATTTGAAGGTACCCTGGATTTCTTAACCCAAGTTTCTTGGTTTGAAACGGCATCAAATTACAAACAAAATCGAGAAATCACAGGAAGTTTCGAGCCCGCAGCACCTTCCATTCCAGCTCATGTGCTGATCTCGCGGGCTTGCCGAATCAGGGCTTAATATTTAAGGCCTCGATTTGGGAGGACTCTACAGGCTTGTACAAGCTCAATATGTGTAAATGAAGCTTTGCCATACAGGAAAAAAGCCACCAAAATAAGAAATTGAGGGGCTCGATTTCTTATTTTGGGTGGTTCTGGTAAGGGCTCATTACAAGCTTGGGAAAACATGGGATTGATATGCTGGCGGTTAAGGATTTTGAAGGATGCCATGCCCGAGTGGATAAGCAGATGGGCTGGAATGGAAAGTGTTGCAGGCTCGAGCCCTCCTGTGCTCTGATTTCTTGGTTTCCTTTGTAAGAGTTTGGTGCCGAGCTTTTGGAATACAAAATCTAATCCATTAGTCTGACGAGTTCCCTGCGGTGCGACTAGTTTCAGCTGGGCGGGTGGCAAAAAAATCCATTAGTCTTTTGCTTTCCTTTTTCGTGCGAACAACACCAGCGAAGACAAAATGAGACTGGATGCCCACAGAGCCCGTAGGAGCCGTAGCACGTCCTCGCAGGGGCCCGTAGAGGCCCTGCCACGGTTTGGGACCCTTCCCCCAACTTCAAAACGTATTCGGGCGGCAGATCAGCTGAAAGCGGCGCTTTCATGCTCGAGCGGAAATCAACGCAAAAGAAGACACTCAGAGTAAAGCAGAAACGCCCAGGAGATCGGCACGCGGCATGGCTGTCTCGCGTCAGTGTGGACTCCTCCCTGGGGCAGCTGACCATTAACATGTCCAAGCGGCTTGGGCAAAGCACAAACCACGCTTCACACCTTAGTGCAGACCCCCCTGATTACGATGCCTTGGTGTTGCTACGGTGTCCTTGAGGGTCATGTCATGGGCCTGCATGGCTCAGGGTAGCCAATGTGGAGTTTTCGACAGGCTGGCTCTCAGCGATGAGGACATACAAAACTGGTGCCTTTGGTTTCGACACCATCTGCCGCGGCACAAGCACAGCCAGAATCTGCAGTACGCTCACATCGACTTTGCAGAGAACAGGCTGCAACGCTGCAAAGCTTTGAGAGGGTCTCAGAGCATCCTATGGTTTTGAGCCCTTCCCTGTCAGGATATCATCTCAGGGTGCCAAGCTTCTGCTGGAGGCGTTTAGAGACCTCCAGCTGCCGGTGCGCATCCTGAAGCTGCACCACAACAGGATCGCTTCAGGCAGGGCTAGGCCGCTAGGCGACTGCAAACCCCCGCAGAGGGCCGCCGTGCGGGGTTTGACGGTGCTCTTGGGGATTGTCGTTTGTTGAGTCTGCCGGGGCTACCTTCCCCCTACAGTACCCGAGTAGGCGGTACCCCATTCAACTTAACTTTTTGACTTATAGCTTGAGCCTCAGGACGTAGAAGCGAGAAGGTGGGCTTTAATGCGCCAACTCCAGGTGCCTGTGTCGCCGAGTTCCTGGGCAGAGGCGAGATTGGCCAAGGTCCGTTTTTGTGGGGCTTCTGGCAGCTTCCGCCTATCTTCAGGTGTGCTTCATGAGCTCCACATCTCGCACAACGAACTCGATGCAGAGGCAATGCCCCCAATGTCGATTCCCACGCACTTTGGCTCTCTCAGATTCACTACAGGCAGCTGCCAGCATCATCTCGGCCGCGGTGCAAGCCAAGGATTACCGCTAGCAAGTGAAGATCTGAGGTGTGCTGCACCTCCGTATAGAAACCCTTTCAGGATGCCACGGGAGCTGTGTCCTACCCACGCCGCGCCGGCCCACGAAACTGTGCCCCTCTCTGGGCTGGGGCCCTAGGTTTCTTTTGCTAAGAAGGCTCATACTTTTAGTGTTTTTTGTCTTGCTCAGGTCCGGATGGAGCAGAACTACATCGACCCGCCGACGCTTTTGCGGCTTCTGGACACTGAAGAAGTGGACCCCAAGCGCAAAACCGCAGGGGTTTTCTGCGATGCTCGCAGCAAGTGGCCTGCTGCTCAGTCTCGCTCCAGCTCACCCTCAACACCTGGCTTGGGGCTACGCCCTTGAAGAGAGTATCAAACGGTCATCTCAACATGTAATGGTTTGAATGCATAGTGATTCCCTGACGGCAGCGTCTTGCTCAGCAAGCCTTGGAGGTGCACGCCGCATAGCTGTGCCGCCAAGCAGGCGTCCGCCCGCATGAGTCTGAGACTCCTCTCTCCTTAGGTGCAGTGGCCGTAGATCCTTTCCTCAGGACGTCATGCACAGGGCCGAACCCCGGCCACCGGAGTCCTAAGGTCCTAACTCCTATGGCGCCTTATGTAAAGCATTGAAGCCCTAAGTGTGCTCGTGACTGCTCCTGCAGGCCGGCTTGCCAGTTCATTTAAAGAATCTGCCTCAGCAGCGCCGGCGACCCCCAAATAGCTGCTTGGAGTACCGACTAGTGACTCTGTGACTAGTGGCTGAAGTGCGTGACCGTTGTCTACAATGAACCGCAGACGACTCTTCAGGGTGCTGGCACAACCCTTAGGTGCTTTCAGGCCTTCCTATCAAGGGCATTTCAAAGTCTTGCTCGTGGCCGGATTGCTTGTCCGCAGCATTTCTTGCTTTGCCGTGTTGACGCGACGGTCCCTGCGATGTTCGAACACTCTAGACCCGGAGAGGTGCAGAGCCTTTGCGTTTTCGCCTTGTGAATCCCGTGTCAAAGTTTCGCGATTACAACATAGTGCAACTTCATATCTTCCGGCGCCCGGCTGTCTAGCTACTGCTTGCCTGTGCTGGGCATTCAATGTGTTTTCCTATCAATGTAGCACGGCATTTTTCTCTTCGCACTTTAAACTTAGATAACAGCCTCGCAAAGAACAAGCATGTGTACTGCAACATGTCCCCTCTCAAATGTAACAGGACGAAGGATACAGGAGAGAATATGTCACAGAAGTCGTTAACAGACACCAGTGGCAAAGTCATGGCAACATCCATCCGCTCGCTCATTCTTTTGTACTCGTTAACAATTAATGAGTTCCTGCCTCTCTTCATGTCATTGCAGTGTGTTGCCGTGCGAGCATTAACATATGCGCAAAACAATTCACCACACGTAATTTCATACCATTTGTCCAGAGATGACCTAATTTTTATGATGATTGCCACTAAGATTACATTGTGTCTCTGAGTCTTGCGTTATCTTTTCTCTGGGCCCTTTTATTCGGTTCATGTTTTCGTTCTCTTCTTTCACTACAATCATCACCGAAAAATGAGAAATCTAAAGAAAATGCCTGCGAAGATTCTAGGACTTGTTTATTTCGTGTTGTGTTTCTCTTTCCCTTCGCTCAGTTCATGCTTCTGTTCTTTCCTTATAACAGGAGCGAAATGAAGGGACCACAAAGGGACCGAAATAAGCCACACAAAGACTACTATTAGATTGTAACGTCAAGATACGTGGTCGGAGTGACCGGGAAGAAGATGAAAAGGATGAACTAAACCTTAATGATTCATCCTATCACCCTGTAGCTCCTGTGAAATTTGGGTCCCTTTCGCTCGTCTCATGTTTTCCTTTTTGTGATTTGTCACAGACTTGTGCAAACGTACGCCTTGTGGACTTGTCAGAATTCATTCCAACTTTTTTCACGCTCGCAGCTTAACCGCTCAAGACCAGCTCTGTGCTAGATCCCGGAAAAGGTCCGCTTGCACTAGGGAGCGTAGCTAGCGTGTGGTTAACCTAACTGCTTCAATCTACGATCGTTCTCGTGCTTCTACTGTTGCACTGCTCCGATCTACTATTGGCTGCACACTGCTTTGTAACCGAGAGTTAAATGGATTCCTCCTCTGCTTTTTGACACTTTTGTTCAATCATGTGTTGAGCAGGCTTTCACTCTGTTGCGTTGTTTTATGTTAAGTTGGGACTTGGGACCCAGGCATCTTAGCGGCTCCTGCTCTTGGAAGCGTCCGGCAGCTGCCGGACGGGACGGAGCAAGCCTGCATTCTGCAATTTGACTGGGACACCGGCCGCTGGCTTCCGCAAGTCATCGAGATTCCGCCCAATCCCAAGGATCCCTGGCAGAGCGCGTTTGGAAAGGAGCCGACCGAGCGCACTTTGCCCACTTTGGCAGCTCAGGAACTGGAGCAGCTCGCTCAGGCTTCTTGGGAGGGGGAAGGCACGCTGCGACGCTGCGACGGTTCGGTGCTGCTTTGGGCCGTCACGGCCTTTGCTTTGCAATTTCCCGCAGCGCAGGTGAGGAAGCCACCGACGGACAACAGATTCAACCTCTGAGTTTGGAGGCGGAGGGTCGGGGCCAGAAGACAGGACAGAGCGTTACAGAGAGAGAAGCGCAGCTCCCAGCTGCTTCAGTTCCTTCCCGGAAGGGTTTCCGTCAGGTCGGCCAATCCCTGGGCGCGGACATCCTCCGCTCTCTGTGGGCCTTTTGGCGGCTCTCGGCGTTCTGCCCGGCTGTGTCTCCACGTCGCCACAGCTGAGGAGTTCGAGACTACGGAGCCCACGGAGACTGCAGCACCGCAAGTTGCAACCCCGGCAAGGCCCGCAGCCCTCCTCTCAGCCCCTTTCAAAGACTTTCTGTGATGTTATTCTTTCGGTTGAATAGGCTTAGACGCTGGGATACTTCGTCGCATTGCAAACACCGCTACATGAGCTTCACCCTAAACGTCAAGAAGAACTCTGCGGGAGGTCGACCTTCAACCCTTTGGCACCGGAGTTCGAGCCGGGCGGGAGGTGGAAACGACACGCCTTTGTACTTGTAGGGCTGAGGTTCAGAATGGGGATTGGTGGCAGGTTCCGATTCCGAGTTGGCTTTGAGCGACTTTTTCGGCGGCGTTTGAGTTTCACGCGGGCAGGTGCTTCGTGTCCAGCTTCAGCGAGGAGCCCCCTGCTGCTTGCCCGAGCAATGCAGCTCCCCTTTCTTGTTCAGAAACTACCCTCACTGAAGTAAAGCCCAAGGCCAGAGCCCTAAGTACCATAATTGGCAAATCGCTGGTGTTGTCTTGTGGCTGTTGTCCATTCGGATTGCAGCTGCAAGTTCTGACACAGTGTTTGGTCTAAACCGAAGGAAAGTGTTGAATGATGAGGTGTTGTTCATATCCTGCTTTGGGGATGCAGATCCCAGTAACCTCGCTTGTGGACATTGCTTCCAGCCATGCGAGAGGGAAAAAAAAAACATCCTTCACCTCCCAACAGACCGTCACGAACATGCCTGGCATGGAGCACCACTCGTCATAACCCTAAGCTATCCCGGAAAGCAAGGGAGCCCAAACCCTGAAAGCCCGTATCTCAGGAACAGGTCGTCAGCACAGACACCTCAGCTGGGGCTGCTTCCGAAGCTACAGAGGGCTCCGATGCGGCCTTGGCAAGCTATATGTCAGTCCTAGTTTAGCTCTGGGGGCTCGAAGCCTCGTCCATGTCTTTTTTTGGTCTTCCGATTTCTTTCACGGTAGGAAGTAAGGCCCTTTTTCTGGTGGTGCCTGTCGCCAGGGCTTTTGTCAGCGCCGAGGCCGCTGCGGGCGCCGAGCTCGGCGAGTCCCCAAATCCCACCGAGCTCGGCAGCCTCCGGTCTGCAGAGAGAACTCTTCAGGGGCCACCGCCACAAAGCTGTGGGAAGCTGAGGCCTCTCATCCGACGCCGTTCCGGATCCCGAGCCGACGCTTGCCTTTCAAGGGAAAAGCTGGGAGGAATTAGGGCTCTGAAGTCTGCACTGAAGGAGGGCCGGACAGGAGCTGCCAGACGACTGTCACAGCCAAGCCTCCGATCTGGGCTCCGGGACGCCAGAGGAAGCAGAGGCCACCCCGGCCCTAGCATCACGAGCCCTACACGCACAGAAAAAATCTGCTGCTTTGCAGGCGGATTTGCCGCGCCAGGCGCAGGCCGCCCAGGCCCAAACCTCTCGGAAGAGCGAGCCGACACTCGGAAGTGTTCATGAGCTGCTTTCGGCCCTTCAAAACGTGGTCCGAGCTTCTGAACTAAGGCACTGGCCCTGCAGCGTGATGTGAGCTTCATGGCTTCCAGCCGGTGCATCGGAATCGCGGGGCCTTGTTGCCCCGTCTGGCGAACACCAAACTCCCATCCCTTCTCAGGCGTACTGCAAAGTCCTGCCTTCCCGTGCTGTTCTTGTTCGCCAGCGTATCGTCCCAGAGTTGCCTTATTTATGGGACGTAGTGTGGATAGCCTAGCATTCCAAGTCCTGAAGTGCCGTCTTCACAGCTAGCCGCCATCAGGCGCAAAGCTACGAAACGGCAAGGAAGACGAGCAATCGCTCTTTACCCAACTCCTCCGCCCCCGCGTTTATTTGCGGTCACAGGCAAAAAGCTTGCAGCATCCTGAGGCTTGAATCGCTTCAAGCTCACGATTCACAATTCATGCGACGCGTATCGCCAGTTCTACTTCCGTCACCACATCCAAACTCCAGGCCGCAACCCCTATAGGACAAAGCAAGCCTAACCTTGCAGTGGTGTACTGCTAGGAGGCTGGGATGCTCATGGCAATAGGCTTGCACTCCCACCCCAATCTGATCCTGCTTATTGGAGTGTGCAGCTCAGGGTCGATTGGTGAAAGGGCCTAGGCCTGGGAAAGCCCCCTGCGCGTTTGCGGCGGGAGGGCCGGTACGACGACACGAAGCCTGTCTGCATCCCTGCCTATCAAGGTGGGTTGGAGGGATTTCAGCTTCCAAGCTTGTGAAGTTTAGGCAGGTTAACTGGTGCAGCCGGTGGCTGCTGGAAGTAAACGTCCTCTAGATGCTCCGATTCCTAGACTAGCGAAGCCTGAGGAGGCGTGGACCTAGCAGCAGGGGGGGTGTTTGAGGGGGGGGTGATCTCTCTGATCTCTGTGGCGCCGCCGCCATGAGCTCAGCCTCTTCGGAGGAGGAGGCGAGGCCCGGCAGAGGCGAGCAGAGAGGGGAGAGCCCAGCAGCTGCCAGCAGAGGGAGCGAAAGAGGAGGCGCGTCCGCTCTTTGCTTGGAGGAAAGCTTCTTCAGCGGCAGAAGCGCGAGCTGAAGGCCACGGTCCCCGCTTTGCGGCTTTGCGGCTTTGCTTTGATTTCTTGGCTCCAGGCTCTCTTGGAGCAGAAGCGCTTGGAAGCCGGTGACTTGGCAGAGAGAGCCAGGCAGCCAGGAGAAGGGGCTTGGGCTTGAATTGTCGAAGTCGAAGCAGCAGTGCGCATAGTGAAGAGCAGTCGAGCCGGTCGCGATAGCCGATCGTCGGGTTTCGTCGGAGGCGGCCGAAAAAGACGAGCCTCGAATCGCTTCGTCTTGCCAGGTAAGCTTACAAGCTTCGCGAAAGCCAAACGGGAGCACAAGAAGATCGAAGCGCGTCAGGAGAAGCGGGATCTGGAGGAGCTCAGCGAAGCTGTCCTTTTCCCCTCGTCCCCTCTGGCCCTCTCTTAGGAGAAGTTCCGGGTGCTCGAGGAGGAGTTGAAAGCTCGGCACGAGATGGAGCTCAAAGAGTTGGGGCCATCCGCCGAGGGAACTGAGCCCGAGGCGGCCGAGGGGGACAGGGTTGCGGCTTAGCCAGACTCATTTTCACAAGTCTACCTCAAAAGCCCCACATCGAGGCCAACTCCCACTCCCTGGCGTTGGAGGACCATTTAGACGGCTTCGACCCTTTGGAAACTGAAGGCTCCCTGCAGGGTGCGTTAACCTGGCTAGACCTGCATAGCAACCTGTCCAGGCACAAGACGGGACCGAATACAAAAGAAGAAGGACATGCTCGCAGAGATCGAGAAAGAGCTGCGGGAAGCGGGTACGTGAACTCCCCCGCCGTCACGGTGTTTCACCTCTGTACATAGTGACACATAGATATGGTCTTTTCTGCGGCTCCTGTAAGCCATCGGAACGATGCTCTGCCCAGTGAGAAACATGCAAAAAAAAGGTGGGCGGGCGGGCACAAAGCTCTCCCGGGTGATGGGCTCTCTGGAGCTGTTGCTGGACCCTGGGTATGTCGAATCACAGACTTTCCAATCACACATCTGAAGCATCGCGTTGTTGTCTTACGTCTCGTGGAGGCCGGCGAGAAGCCAGCAAGAGCCGGAGCGGCAGCCACTTGCATCAATCGCCCCCTATCAAGGCTTTCAGGGTTTTCTAGAAGTTAACAAAGCAAAGGTCGCGGCAGAGAGGACAAGCTGGTTCCCGCTGCGGCCGCCCCGCAACGAGTCCGGATTCAGTCCTTCGAGGCGACCTGGCGACCACGGGGCCCTTTGTGCGCGCTTGCGGCCGCTCGCGCTGCCGGTCTGCAGGAGATCCTGGCAGCCGTGCGCTCCGGCGCCATGCCCTCCATGATGCGCGCCGGCCCAGACGATTGCCCCCCCCCAGTCTCACAGTGGCGCAGTAGAGTAGCAGTATGTAGCAGCAGTTGACAGGCCTGCCAGGGCCGGGTCGGCGTTGCAGCCACAGACCTCAGGAGCCACGCTAGTGCTGGCAGCTGGCAGAAGGGGAGCTGCGTTGTCAGCTGTGCGGCTGTGCCTTCAGGAGGCTTCATGCTGCCAGCACGTGCGGGGCCCATGCCAGAGGGTCGTCGAGTTTAGCACAGCCGCTGCAGGATCAGAATCTTGGAGGCACGCACACACACACACACACACACAGAGCATGACTATCCTTGCAAGGGCCAACATAGGTGCCCACGTCGTTTTGTTTTCAAGCCTCCAACCCGAGCCTGTTTCGGTCGATGGGTATGAGACGTGAGGGAAGTCTTGGGGGAGAAGTCGAAAGACTTCGGCGAAGTGTCGAAAGGTGTGCTACGACTAGACAGACCAGTGAGCGTGCAGAAATCCAAGCAGAATTCGCTGCCGAAGGCTCACTCTACGACTCCGGCAGGGATCCTCAGCGGGCCTTTTTCGGCTTACGCCGCATGCGAGTCGCACGAGGCTACAAGGGCCAAATGTTCGGGCCTTCCGGTGAAGATTGCCCACAAGCACGTCCCGAGGCCAGCCGGTTTGGGAGTGAGGGCGAACTTGACTCGCCTGACTTGGATCAGATGCTCGAGCGGGCAAAGGAAGAAGCCAAGATGGCAGAGGAGCAAGGCCACGAGGGCCACGAAAGTGCGAGAGGTCGCAGGGATCGGATCCTTTTCGCTCTTCGCTCTCTTTCTGAGGCAAGCGAGCCGCCAAAAAAGGCGCTTCCATCCCGACGGGGCCACCAGGACTTCCAACGGGCGTGGTGGTTCGAGCCCCAGTCCGGTCGGAAGACTTGGGAAATCTTGGGAAGCTGGAGGGTGAAAGCCTAAGAGCCTAGTGACTACTAGTGACCTAGTGACAGTGAGTCTTCAATGTCAAGGTCGTTGAGCAGAAGTACGTGGATTTCCTACTTGGCCCGGGAGGCCCTGAAAATGGTACTCTGGAAAGCGCATGAAAGCATGAAAGTCCTAGTGATGCTCACGAGGGCAGTCCTTGGCAGCGATCAACCACGCAGCCGGGGTCAATGTGAACCTGGACCAGACGCACAAGTTCTCGGGCTATAGCATTGCCAACATCTACGGGCCAGAGGAGCACTCTAGTTCTAGAATGAGTCTAGAGCTGCAGAATGGTACGAGCCGTGTGTGAACATGTCAGGACAGGGTGCGAAATGCCAAATTGGCGATCGACTTCAAGCTCTCCCAGTGGCTGCCACTTCATGAGCGACGAAGAACCGGAGGTGCTGTCAACAGCCAGTCGAACCAGGCCCACTGCGCACGCGGATATGTTTTGGTCGGTTTTGAGATGCAGCACTGCAGGTTCCTGCACCACTTGGGGGGCGGGAGCTGGGAGCTTAACACGTCGGAGCCCGCAAGATTGATTCCCTGCATCACAGCTGTTGCATCCAACTGCTACTCGCAGCCTTCATCTTGAATCCATCTAGTCATTTCTTATGCGGGTTGGAAGGGTACATCTTCCGGTGTCCGAGCTGCCGACCTGAAGGAAGCCTGAAAGTACATGGATGCACAAGTATTCAAAGTCTGGCCGCCACCTCCACCACATCATAGTGAATGGAACGAAGTGAAACGGATACAAGGGTAGAAGCGGTGGAAGTCTACCGGTCGTGACTGTGATGATGGGATCGGTTTTTCTTGAAGCTAGACTTAAGGCAAGTGAGAATCGCCGACTTGCAGAGAGCGCACAGAAGTTGCATCTCTCCCAAGAGAGGCCGTCCGCTGGCACCTGGAGGTCTGGGAGCCAGGGAACGCCGGGAACGCAGGCATCAGGCCCGGGCCCCAGGCCCCCCCCCATTTCGCGACGGCGCGGATGTCCGGTGCGGATCGCTTTGAGGTGCCACCGCCACGTGGCCGCTTGGCGGACACTTTTGGATTCATAGGGTCCCCCGGCGTGGAGAACTTCTGCTGGCCCCTTTGCTGAAAGGTCCAAAGACGGCGACCAGGCTGAGGCGAGTCCTTGGGCCTTGGAGCAGGGAGCCAGTGTGCGGGAGTCCTATTCCTGGCAGGGCAAGCCCATTACCGGCGGCCTCCTTTGATGGCCGCACCAGAAAAGCAGGGGGATCTTTTGGCCTGCCCCAAGAAACCAAGCTCTGTGTCCTGAAGCTCGTAAGGGCGATACTCGCCATACTCTGACATTGCTGTCGTATATGCTTGGTTTTGGGGCAGCCGGCCGCGGATTGCACTTGCTGTGAGGGGCGGTGGAGAGAAGTCTAAGTTGCGTGTGCCGTGAGCGTGAGAGTCACAGCAGAGCCCGCCGTTTCGAGTCTCGAGCCGCAGAGCCGCAGCCAAGGAGGCCCTGAAGAGCAGAGACCACCACATGTAGTCGCTCTCCTCTCTGCCATGGCCTACGCGGCCTCGTCTTCGTCTGGGCGCCACGGGGCCCAGCGCTCCCGGCTGCTGCGCCAGGAGGCCAAAGGCCCCAAAGGCCCCTTCGTACACCCTTTGAAAGCCGTCTCAGCTCCGCCAGGCGCCGGCAGGCGGAGATGGGTACAGCCAGGCCTTCGAGGAGCCGCCTGAGCCGCACTGGCCGCTTAACTCTACAGACCGATCCTGCCATTGCCCTTTGCCCTTCTTTGCCGGACAAGTATCTGCAACTGGGAAGGAGTACTACAAGGTGCAGCAGGTCGTGGCGGAGGCGTGCCGCCACGCCAGCAGCACGTCTGCTTTGCTCTGCTCTGCTGTGCTGTGTGCATGGTGCGCCGCTTTCGCCGGCAGGATTCCTGGCATGAGTTTCTGGAGACCCTGAGACGACCCATGCCGGTGGTGGTCCGCATCAACCGCACGAAGCCGTACTGGAAGGACGGGTGGGACTGCAGAACTGCAGAGCTGCGCTGCTGCACTGCATTGCTGCATTGCGCATCGCGGCCGTCGCCCAGGACTTGCATGAGGCCTTTGCCCGCGATTTGCGGTGGATGCCTTTGAGCTGGTTCCCGGGCCATGCCTGGCAATGCGAGGCCCAGGTGCAGCCGGGAGACCGCAGCGGGGAGACCGGACACGTTTTGAGTTCGCAGGACTACGATGACGCTTTGCGCACGCAGTGTTCCAGCCTCAACAAGGCCTACTCCCTCCGTTTCCAGGCGCCACCCCGGAGCTCTCGGAGCGCCGAGCCTCCGAGTCCTCGAGTGTTGCAGGAGAGTGCCTCTTTGTTGCCGCCATTGCTACTGAAGGCCTACTGTAGCACAGCGGGGAAGTCTTCCAATCGCTAGAGCAGAGCTGAGCAGATCCAGCCCGGGGACTTGGTCCTCGACCTCTGTGCTGCACCAGGCGGCCCCAACACGGTGCTTACCTTGTCAGTTCCCTTCGCCGGTTTTGCGGAGAGGCAGCAAGACTTTGGAGTGCATCGAGCTGATGCGCGAGGCGGAGACCAACACGGATCCCCGGCTTGAGAGCTTCCAAATAAAAGTCAGGGAGAGACGCGGGAGACCGGACGGACCGGACCCCAAGCCGTGCAGAGACAAAACGAAAAAGAGGCGGGAGTCACGCTTCGAGTGCCGCAACTATTGCTGTTCTCGCTCTCGTGATCTCTCGCGGCACGGTGTTGCGCGAACCGCCTCACACGAAAGGGCCAAAACCAAAAAATGGCTTCTCAAGAATTTTCGCACACTTGAGAGCTTCGGGTGCCACGCTTTGGGATGGCACCATGAATATTTGTCGAACCGCACCGCCCCACTGAAACACCAGTTCGGTTTGAGCTGCACCTTTGGTGCTCTTACTTGGAGTGGCCGCCGACGATGTTTTGAGGAAGATGCCGGAGTTATCATCGCAAATGACGCAGATGCCGAGCGATGCTTCGAGCTGTTGCCACTCGTGGTGCGAAAGGCGCACAGCGCGGGTCCCCCTCTCTCTCTCTCTCTCTCTCTCTCTCTGAGTCCCGGTGGCAGAAAAGGCACGGCACCCTGGCTGCGCCGTGGTGCTCGGCAGTGCCGCGAAGTACCCGGCACAGTTCCACGGCCCTTCCGAGCAGCTCTTGCACCTTCGCCACAGGGTAAGTAACCTGCTGCCATGCCATGCTACGCCATGCTACGCCATGCTATGCCGCTATGCTTTGTCTCTACCTCTGAAAACCTCTCTGTTCATGGGCACCTAGGCGTAGGGAGCTCAGGTACGATCGCGTCCTTTGCGATGTGCCCTGCTCCGGGGATGGCACACTGCGCAAGCGGCCGCAATGTTGGAAGACCTGGTCAGTCGACCCGAGGCCAATGTTTGCTGTAGGACTTGCAATTGGAATCCTTCTGCATAAACAAGGGGTTGCGAGAGTAGAAAGTGAGCCGAGGAGTCTGCCATGACTCTCCACGGCAAGCAGCTTCAGATCCTGTGCCGCGGGCTTCATCTTCTCAAGCCTGGCGGCCGCCTCGTCTACTCCACCTGCAGCCTGAACCCTCTGGAGAACGAGGCGAGGTTGAACTTCCCTCCACGCTTTCTGTTTCTGGGAGAGCTGGAGCTGCACATAGGCCGTCATCTCTGCTGCACTGGCCCGGTTTGGCGAGGATGTGGAACTCGCAGCTCGAATCGAAGAGTCCGTCAGCTGAGCCGCCGAGCGGCTCCTAAGAGCAACCCCCCCCCCGAAAGTCGAAACTTTCCTTTGGAGATCTTTGGAGGTCTCCGATGCTGCGGCGGAACCGGCGGCAGCGGGGCTCCGAGTGGCGAAGGCCCTCCTGGCCTGGCGGGTGCCCCGAGGAGCAGGCGAAGGAGCCTCGTGGAGCCGCGGAGCTTTGGGGACTTCGGACTTTTCCTTAGGCTTGGGCTTTGTTGGCTTCTTGTCTGGGCTTCCCAGTTCTTCCTCCCCTTCCCCTTGTTCCGCAGGAGGGAGCTTCTACGAACGCTGGGAGGAAGTTCCCCTCGCAGAGCGCAAGCCCAAGGGGCCGATATGTCAAAGCATGTTCCCTTCCGAGCTTTCCGAAAGGGCAGGCGAGAGATGCATCCGCTTGAGTCTGGGAAGGCATCTCTTTGCGCTGTGACCGATTACAACCCTCTTCCAACCAGAGCGCCTGCACCTTACAGATCTTTTGCAGCTCAGGAATCCACATGAGATCGATGGCTCCGGCTTCTTCGTGGCCGTCTTCACGAAGACGCTCCACCGGGCCTTTCCCTTGGAGATCCCGCGACAGCCCAGCTTGGGTTCACAGATCCCTTGGAGAGCAAGGCCTGGACAGAGATCGCACCGTGTCAGCACACCCTTTGCACGCTCCCTCCGTCTTACAGACAGGAACCAGAACAACTGCTACGTCCTCGTCTCACCGGAAAGCCCAGATGTCCGGTCGATTGCCACTTGGATTCTTCTAGCGGATGCGAAGCTGCTTGAACGAAGAAAGACTAAGAGCTATCTTAGGTGGATTTCTATGGCTTGCAGAACGTGCCGGAGCCACTGCTAGCTGAGTACAATACGAAGGCGAAGCTCACACAGCTGAATCTGGTGAATTCTGGCCTCCTGCGGCTGCTCCAGAGCCATCTGAACTGCAAGGCACAGAGGGAGGTTTCAGCATACCTGAAGCACACACAAACATGGCCCACCCGCCTGTTGCAAGGGTTCGCCTCTGCTGGTTTCAGTGGGAATCCCTCTCTTCAAGCTCTTGGACGAGAATTTCATGACCAACATCAACGTGGCGTCGCGGTGGAGGCCTGCCCTGGAGGGCGCCTCTCTGCTGGCAGAGAGGATGAGAAAACGCCGGCTCCTACTTGCTGCTGAACCCATGAGGCCAGGGATGAGCCGGCTCCGATTTTCTGGTGATGTGAGGATTTTATTACGCACAGCAGCCCGAGCCCGAGGCAGCTCCTGGCGACGAGGCTCTTGCCCATGGAATCCTTCGGGTTCCTCGCGACGAGAGGCGACCTCCAAGGTCTGGAGAGCTGTGAGGAGAAGCTTGGGGGTGCCCTGGTGGGCGCCTTGGACGGCTCCTTCTGGGCGCCCTGCATCATCACAGGCCGCCATCAAAGTCGCTCAGAGGGAAGAGGGACCGAGTTGACGGGCTTTTTGAAGGCAAAGGCCTGGAGCTCTACGCCAGCACCGTGGAGCTCGGCGATCCGAACCCCACTTTGCTTCCCACAAAGATGCCGGAAGTGCTGTGCCAGCGACCTGGGCGACACGTTTGCACAGGTGACCAAAAACAAGAATCTCTGCACTCAGTTGACTGCAGTCATGTATCTGTAAGGTACCTTATCTTGGATAAGCCCAGCGGTCTTCGTACGGAGGATGCGCTCCGCCCCTCGGTCAAGAAGCGATGTCTCTGCCAAAAACACGCTCAAGCCTTTTTCAAGGGCGCTTCGTCGCAAGGCTTTGCGCAGGAGCTCAGCTCAGCCGCTGCTCAACTGGTGTCTCGCCTGGACAAGGCGCGCCGCGCTCCTTTCGGGCTCCTTTAAAGGGCTCCTTTAAAGGGCTCCTCGCCACAGGAGACCAGCGGCTGCCTGCTGATTCCCTCGACGGACTCTGCGAAGCTCTTCACGGAGCAGTTCGCGAATGCGAAGGCCAGAGATGAGCGCGAAAAAAGTTCGAAGAACGAGACGTGTCGTGTCTCTGTGTCTCCTCTTCTCCTAGGTGAAGAAGTGCTATGTGGCTTTGGTGCTGGGCGAGCCGCCTTCCGAAGGTGAAGTCTGCGCGCCCTTGGGGCTCCTAGAGGCCGGAGGAAAGAGCCGCTACAAGGCCTTCGTAGATCTGGAGCATGGCAAGGCGCGCCCAAGGCTTGCCGACACGGGAAGCGGTTACCGTTCTGTCTGCTGGCAGCCTGGCAGGAGGCCTCCAGCTCCTACGAGCTGCTCTGGCACTCGAGACCACGAGGTGCGGTGCGAGCGAAGCGAGCGAAGCGAGCGAAGCGAGCGAAGAGGCTGTGCAGCTTGCAGCCTTGCAGCTCCTCGCCTTGCGAGGCTGCGCGCTGCTTCTCGTGTACCCGAAGACCGGAAGCAGCCCACCTCAAGTTAGCTTTATAGCAGAAGTCGTGAAAACTTGATGTCCTGTTTTCGCGTAGCGGCTAGCAGCTAGCAGCTGGCGAGGGACGCATCAGATTCGCTGCCACATGGCACACCTTGGTCATCCTCTGGTCGGGGACGTGAAGTACGGTGCTCCCACGTCGGCCTGGTGCCAACGTCTCCCGCTGCACTGCTTGGCCATCCGCTGCCTGGAGGGTACCGTTAGTGCCTTTGCTCCGCTTCCTTCGGATTTTCAGCAGATCCTTGCCTCCCTCGACGATCAAAGAGACTGGCAGTTCCTGGTCCGCGAGCGGTGCCTTAAGACTTGAGTCGTGGCTTCCAAATAGCCACGCGGACGGCAGCAGAAACCAGGAGCCAGGCAAGAAAGCCCTGCAGCCCGACTCGGAGGTTACCGCGCTCACCACCTCGGCATGCTTCGGCGTTCTCCAGCACCAGCACACTCGGACCTCCAGACGCAGAAGGCCCTGTCGCTTCTGAGCCCGAGCTAGACTGGCACATCTGGCTTGCCGGCGAGAAAATCCTTGCTTTAAGCTTGCTGCTCATGGCTGCTTCGTTTGTCTGCCGGCTCAGCGCCGCCCTTGTTCTGGATCAAGAACAACCCCCATGGTGCAAAGCCGACTCAGCCAACCTGCATCCTACCGCATCCTAGCATTTTGCCGACACGAAGCAAAGGCAAGGGCATCTTACATCGTAGCAACGCTGAAAAGAGTTCTTGGGCCCCGGCGCGCTCGGACTTTGCATGGCCAAGCGGCGGAGTTGCACACGACGTGGGCGAAGGCATTCTCCTCCTCAGATTTTTGATGCAGCCTTACAGTGCTCTTTTCCTGCTTGCATCCTTGCCGTTCATTCCAGGGATCTCAGGCCAGAGGTTCAAGGGTGGCGGCTCTCCGAAAACCGCCGCGCAGGCAACCGCATAACGATGCCAGGCTTGCTACCTGTGGAAGAGTTGACGTCGAGTAGCACGGAGCCATGCAAACCAAATCGTGCAGCAGTACATCCGCAAGCATAAGTTCCAGGAAATGGCAAAGAGGCGACAGTTCCAGCTTCTGGCAGAAGGATTCCTACCCACTTGGTTTATCGTTGACACTTCGAGCTTTCAAAGGTCGGGATTTCAGAAAGACTTTTGGCTTGCACAGGGAGAGCTTATCCGCGAAGGAGTCCGCGATACAGGAGCAACGGTACGACTTGCCATGCGCGCATATCAGCAGATCGCTGGGATGCGATTGTTTGATGCCGCCACGTCCAGGAACGCACGACCTCATCTCTGATAACGCTGATTTGCACGGGAACCGATGGTTGCAGCTCGAACTCAAGACCACAGAGCCGGCGTCTCTTGCATATTGTGGAGGCAATCTGTCCGTGTACGTCGAGGACAGGCATGTGGCATGTCCTGATTTCATCAGGACAAGTCACACGGAAACAGTTGTTTGTGCCAACTTCGTACACCACAGCACACATGAAGAAGTGGCCATGTTTCGAGAGTCTGCGAGAGCTTCATCAGCACTTCATATTCGGCTGGGCGCTGCAAGGAGTGAAGCTGGCGAGTTTGGAGTGTTCCATCATCCAAGGGGCACACATGGCCATGCAGCATGGCCTTGCATCGGCGCCTCAGAAAAGGGAGAAGGTCAGTCTGAAGTGGAAGCCACTGTTGCAGTGTTCAGATGCAGAAGAGCCACGACAGAGCAGCGCAGCGCGTGATGGTTATGACTCACTGGTTCTGTGGCGTTCTGTCTTGTTCTGTGTTTGTTTATGACTAACTCGACATACAAGCATACACAAAGACAACAAAACAACTAAAGCCAACAACAAAAAGTAGGTTGCTAAATGTTAGGCTGTAGGATGGCTACAAACATAGCCGTTTGTTATATCCTTGAGGACAATTGCAGTTACGCCCAATGTTCAAAGAAGTCATCAACGATGACATCAATGACACTTACAGCTAGTGCGACGATGCCCAATGTGAGGTAACTGGTGACTGTGGATGAGCTGTTGAAGAATGGCTGCACTGACGAAAAGGTCTTGGTATCCTTTCGTGAGTTGTCGGAGCAGGCTGAGATGTTGGTTGAAGAAGGGACATGTGTGCCGTGCAGGCTCTAGATGAAGTCGTACAAATGAACCTCACATTGCAGACTGCGCGGGATGAGTTGAAGAAGAAGTTGCCAGGTGAGGCGGAGATCATCGATTGGGGCATCCTGCATGAACGCATCCTGGCTCTTCAGTCTGAGCGTGAAGGTTGAGGGAGCAGCCCACGCATCATACAAAACCAGAGATCAAGCAGGAGGGCAGTCGCAAGAGGACCGTGGATGGCATGATTGATTCGAGCACACCTCAGAGGACAAGCAAACCCCGCGTTGGTTCTCACTTCCAAAGAAGCCGTTGGGTGCTCATGTGAAAAAATAGACCTCATGTATGGCTTCACTCAGGGAAGCCGATGATAAGAGTTTGCCTTGAAATGATGTTTATGCTGGCTTTCTTGTTCCAAGAGCAAGACTGCCATCGCGAGTATCCACGCGAGATGCGAGACCTTGCGGAGAACATCCGTAGCGTCTCTTCGTGTGTCTAAGTGCCTTGCCCAATCCCCTATTCCACTTACTATCACTTCCCCCTGCGTCAGGAGAAACAATGCTTGTTCTACATGCTCTTCAACCTCTGCAGGTGCCTTGGTTATTTCATACAAACTCAAAGTCTTTTCGAGAGTTCTGTCTGACAGCTGACCTGTGGAGGTAATCGGCTCAATAGGCTAGCCAATGCAAATCGCCGTACCGACCACTGCAGGCCTTGCCAGGCTCCGAGTCTGAGTGTCAAAAACACGCTCAAATCGCAAAAAAAGTATTGGAAACACAATGAGCAAACAAAAACACTTCAACTTCACGGAATGATTGGTTTTAGGATGACCACGAACCATAACATGATAATATTGATAATGTTATGTTTGTTGAATTCATTTAGTCAGACTCAGGTTTATTCAAGTGCGCACGGCGTGGGCGCTTCTGGGCCGTGCGTCTTCACAGCAGCCGCCCAGCTCATACCGTTGAGGCGCAGTTGGGGCAGGGGGAAGATGGGTTTCGAGGCTTCCTGAGCTTGTAGGTCCCTGCCGGACAGTTCCTTCAACTCTCCAGGGCCCTGAGCTCGGTCAGTACTTTTCGAAGATTCTTTCGGTGTTGCACGGCCCTGCTGCCCTGCTGCACATGACATGTCAGGAGGCAGAAGTGCCGTTGCTCTGCTTTGAATTTGCGCCTTTCTCCAGGCTTGCGTCAGTCAGGGCAGAGCCGCCAGACTGCAGGCCGAGCCCCCCGCGAGCCCGAGCCGGGTCAGCAGCGCAGCTGCATCTCCTTTTAGCACCGCGTGTGGTCTCCTGCGATAGGTGTCGGTGGCGGGCCCTGAGGGCAATGCAGGCGCCGAAGTCTTTTGCTTTGTCGCGTCCGTGCAGTCGCCTGGCTGATGCTGAAGGACATGGCAGTGGTGCCTTCAACTTTGCTTGCCTAGTCGAAGAAGGCCTGTCGCGAAGTTCAGAGACGAATCTTGATTTGATGGTGATTGAAGAATTGACAACATCCGGTTTGCCTTCGCATCGCTGAGACTGAGACGCAGGCGGACGGAACCTGTCCTTGCGTTTGTCCCGCGGCTATGCCTGGCAGTTGAAACTCCTCAACACAGGCCGGCGATCGAGCATGAGTTTTGGGGTCATCGAGGTGTCTTCTTGTGAAGTGCCGTTGGTGCCTAGGACCTGTGCTGACCAGCTCTACGGTTGTTGACGTTTTGGGCTACATCTCGCCCTGCAGAGGTCTGGCAGCATAAGAAGTGGGTCTTTTCTGATGGTCTCCATGACAGACAGGCACGAGGAGGAGTATCCAAGACTCCCCAAGGCTGGGGGACTGCTTGCAACCGGTTAAGACCCTTTTTCCACTACTGCCGACAGCCTGCTTGAGCAGAGCATAGCTGCCATGTGCTTTGTTTTTCCATGCACCACGAGCACTGGGTCACCACTGCACCGACCTCAACCAGCAGTACGAGCCGACTGGGGGCCCTGCCTGATCCTTGATTTCATGTGCTTGGCTGGTGCCACTGCTCCTCCTCCGTGCCTGTGCTCTAGGCCAAAAACATCTGCCTCCGACAGAAGATTCGCAGTTATCCTGTTTCCGGGTATCTTTGAGAGACGACCCCAGGTCAAAGAAAATCTGCGATAACCGCTTGTTGTGCTGAGGCTAGCACATAGCCTGCACATGTGAGGCAACACGGCTCGCTCCGGCAGGTGCGCCTGCCTGCAGGCTGCGGATCAAAAGGAAAGTGCTTTATCCCCTCATTTGTCTGATGTCAGGCTGGACAGCGCTGTCCTTCAAGTCCATCGGCAGTGGTCGCTTAGCCCCGCCGCAGAGAATTGTCAATTTCCGGTGCCATGTGCCGTCACGCTCAGGTTGTGACCGATGTTCCAAAGGCATGCTTCTCTTCAAGCAAATTTGCTGCAGCTGCAGCCCCGCAGGCCAGTCAGACAGTCAGAGTCAGAGCTCGCAACCAGGGCAAGACCTGAAGCCAAGCTGACAGGTCGGGAATGCAGCAAACTCAGGCATTTTGTGTCTGTTTGCTGCGGTAGAGTTGTTGTGTAATTCCGAGGTGGCCGTTGGTGACGAAATCGATCGAATCTTAGGTTTTCGGCGGCTCTTAGCTGGTGCGTCTCCGAGTTCTCAGGTCGAAGTCAACGGTATTTCCCTGGCAAGCCTGGCCAAGCGCATTATGTCTCCGGGCTGTCACTTCAACACATGCAATGAGCATGTGCCCGGCAGTGCCGCTCGGCTTTCCGTGGACTGACACCCATCTCTTTTGTAACACTCGCTTGCCGTCAGGTTGGCAAACTGCAATCGCCTCCTTGCATCTCCTGTGACTTCATTCGGCGCCGGCGCGAATTTGGTTTGGACGGCACTGAGGGTGAAGACGGTTGAGCTGTTGCCCGTGTCAGCCAGTCGGCCACAGCATAGACAATCACTCTTGCTCGATGTGAAAGCATGTCTACCGACCGCGTCAGCAACTTTGAATAGCAGCGGCGAAGGACTTGGCCTTGCAGATGTGGCTCCGTGTGGTAAAGCACCGTGGCTGCAGCGTGGGTGCCTGCTTTGGCACGCTTGCACGCAGCACACCGCACACGTGTGAGTTGTGGTTGGTCGCAGTGTTGAGTGCTCACATGTACAGCTTAGCTGCGGCTGCTTAGCCGCGGACTGGGCTTTTTTGGCCACTCTTGGCCGGACCAAGTCGTGACATTTTTTGCCCTCTCTTCTAGTGCGAGACAATTCAGACATTCGAGACTTTGTCGCCGTTTCTTGCCCAGCAAGGGTGGGGGCGTCCTGTTGTTGTTCTTAGGGAATTACCCAAATTTCAGAATGAGAAGTTATGTGAAATGTAACAGGAGGATTTGTGACGTTTGCCGCGCCTTCTCCAAAAGCCCGTTTTGCTTTAATTTGGTTTCAACTGTGTGCTGTCTTCGCTGGTGCAACATACAGTAATGTACCCTCGCTGGTTTTTCAAAAAATCCTCGTCGGCAGCCAACGCCAACACATCAACTGTCATGACGGCGGTAACTGAAGCGGGTTGTCAATGCAGCTTTTGGACGATGCATACACAGTGTCAGCAGTGGGCCCGGCGCGGTTCTCCTTGCTGAAATCGGAAGATGCAAATTGTCTCAAGGCCGACCATGTGTTGTGCTTATTTTTGGACAGGGGGCTTCCTCCTACCAAGATTCACCCGACATTTCGTTGGCCGACGGGCTTCGATTTCGTTCAGCCCAGTTCCTGGACTCCTTGTCCGTGGCTTGATAAAGCACGACGCTCTCTCGGACGGTGCACAAAAGCTTCGGGGCTGAAGCACGGAATGTGCCATTTGCGGTTTAAGACTTCAAGCGTATGTAAAATCGACTGACATTTTCAGGCTTCTTCGAGCAGCTGTCTCCGTCTCGTTGCTGTGGAAGAACCCTCTTGCAAGTCCCTTGCTCTATTGGCCGTCGTTGCGATTCGGAGAAGGAGAACGCTGCTGGGTCGTTGTCTTTTTCCGGAAGTGCATTTTGCCGCTGTTTTGGCCCGCAGGGCCGCCTCCGGGCTGTGGCATCACTTGACACGGTAACAGACCTTTGGCATCGTTGTAGTACTCGCGCAAAAGTGTTCTTCCCTGGCGTGTTTTCGCAGAAGGTTCAATTCCGGTCGCCAGTGTTGCAGGTGGGCCCACGTTTTGCCGGCGTAGGGGCGGCTTAAGCACGTTTGGAATCTTTGGAATTGCAGACCACAAATTGAAGCAAAAGGGGGATGTATAATGCTTTGCTCGTGCTGTATGTATCGGCTGCACCGACTGCACCGAGAGTGTGTCACCATGGATCTCAGCACTGCGATACAGGGTTCTGCATGCCGCATGCCCCGTTCCCGGCCATCTGCGCCATTTGGCTCGTGTTTTCTGCTTTTCCCATTCCGCTTGAACCGTTTGATACCATTAATTAAGCCTAGGGTCTTGTTTGGTATCGTTCGTATCGTTTCGTGATGGTTCGCACATCCCCAGGCAGGACATGCCGATCACACTTGGAGTCCTGAGCTGAGAATTTGCCCAGACAGCAGAAAGTCGCAGTTCTTTCTCTCAGGTCCGCTGCAAGACAGGCAGCGAGAGCAGGTCGGGAGCTAGACCGGGGCGAAGGGAGCTTTCGACTCCAGACCGAGGCTTCATGCCGAGCGCTCGCAAGCAACAGCAGCCGCGCCAGCAACGCCAGCAGCGGCGGCAGCGGCGGCCAGGGCCAGCCCTGAGGCCGCAAGAAAGCGCCGCCGGTGCCGGCGGCGGGCGGAAGATCGCACTCAAAGCAAAGCCCTCGTTTCTGCCGCTCCTTTCGGTTTCTGGCTCTGGCACAGGAGATCAGGGCCGAGGCGCCCGATGCCATGCCCAAGGCGGCTGCGTCTCCGGCGCCGGCACCTCTCCGCCGTGGCGACCCAGTTGCAGTGAGCCCAAAACCCCAACACAATTTTCTCCGAAGCCGTTGAGGTTACAATCCGCTGAAGCCAGCGGCAGCGGCGACGGCGGCTCGGCCCTCGCATGCCGAACGCACTATGTCACTATGCTCTCCCCGGCCCGGGGTTTCTGTTGTCTTTGCGTCTTTCGGAGGTGTCGATCTCCCCAAAGGCTCGCGATCGGCCAGTTCGCGGCGTGCAGAGCTTGGCCCGGCATCGCATCTTTGCCAAGCATTGCTCTCCGAATCCGAGGCTCTGACACAGCTGGCTGGTGGGTTGTGCTACGAAGAGCTCCCACCCAAAGGAGAGCGATAGATTCTGATTCTCCACCTTGTTTCCGACAAGCCATTTGCCGCAGCACCACCACCAACAGCACCAGCCAAAACACCAACAGCAACTACTGCTACTACTACTACTACTTCTTCTTCTACTACTGCCACCACCACGACTACCAGTGCTGCTGCTAGAGCTAGTGCTAGTGCGATTGCGACGACTACTGCTGCTGCCATTACTGCTACCAGCTTCGGCTACTGCAACTGCTACAGATACTGCTACTGCTACGACGGCGACACTTCACACACCGCAACTACAACAGCAAGAACGCAACAACACGCCACGACAACGACGACCCAGGAGCACACCACGATCAGCAACAAAAGGAAAATGTCAAGGGCACGCCAATTCGGGCAAATTGCATGCTCTCCAGAAAGTGGCCTGAGAGGCCAGATAGGGGTGTAGCTCAGATCCAGCGATGGAAAGGCTGTCACCCACATGCGAGGTTGCAGAATCGAAGCCTTGTTTAGGGACTCTCCCAACTGTGACAACCTGAAAGCATCTCAGCAAAACCCGTGGGGCGCACAGCGACATTAGCTGCGAAGAGCTCTGGCTGAAGTTTAGGCATCACTAGTAGGAAAGGGGAGCTCTACTGGCAGAGGGTGGCAGAGCTGAATCATCCAGGAGGTGTGGCTTCTGGTGCCGAGCAGGTCGGGAGTGCACTCCCGCCTTCTGTCCTACAGTCTGTTGAGACTGTTGTTGCTCAGACCACTCTTGGCCGCGAGGCGCGGGCCTCGAAATATCCAAAGCTGGCCCAAACACCCACTTTCGCCACGGAGGGATCTTGCCCAGGGTGACGTTGAGCTGCTGTGCTGGTCAGGAGTTGGACAGATCAAGTGTAGTGGGGTTGTGCTGCTACCGTCCCGAGGACGACACCCCCACCCCAAGGTACAGTGCACAGATGTGCACAGTGCTTGAGTAGTTGAAATTTCTTAGCGGAAGTCCTTCTTCGAAGATCCTGAGCCATGACATCACGCAGCTTCCCAGGTCGAGATCCGCTTCGACATCTCCAGCAAGGGAAGCAAGCCCAAGGCTCAAAACTGTTTTCAGGCACAGCATCGCGGAGCTGCCAGAAGCAGGTCGTTGAAAGAGGGCAGGTGTCGGCACCCCAGCGACGAAAAACGTCAAGCTCAGAAGTGACAAGAGACTTCTTCTTGCTGTCGGCTCTTGCTGCTGTGCTGCCGTGCCCGAGTCGGAGGCGCTTCGTGCTTGGTGCGGCCGAGCTGAAGGACGGCTGGGCCCTGGCCTCGACAGCGGATCGCCACACCGCAAAACCGCGAGACTCTCCAAGACGAGCAGTCGCGCTGCTTTCTTCGCGCAGTCGCCTCCCAGGTGGATGGACACGTGAACCTTGAGGAAGTCCTGGCTCCCTGGGCGCCGGCCATGCTTGGCATGCGCACGAGGGCCCAGAGGGCCCAGAGCAGACCGTGGCCGTGGGCCGTGGGCCGTGGATGGAAGTCTCGAGGCGCTGGCCAGCGGCGACGCGTGCTGGTGCCTGGCCGTCTTGGGTTCCGTGATGGGGGCGAGGCGGGCGGGTGCCCCAAAATGCAGACAGAGAGAGACGGGAGATGCGGATGCTCTCGCGCCCCCAATCATGTCAGAGGTTCTCCCTGCCAATGCCGAGCTGTCTGTTGACATCGAGGTGAAGCAGCTGTAAAAAAAGCAGCCGCATCGAGTCTTCAAGTCAGAGACCTCGCTTCCTCACCCCACTTTCAGCCTGCCGGGCCCAGATTCGGCTCTAGAGACGGCACTTGGAAGATCAAAGCTCAGCCTGAAGACTTGGAGCTGCAAGCTCAGGAGGCATCACCGAACAGGGTGGATTCCTGTTCCATCGTTCGACATCTCCGAAACACGCGCACCGATCTCCGTCGTCCAGGGGCCGATTGTCCGACAGGCCCGACAGCGCGTACCAAAGCCGGCCGCGCGCAAGCCTTGCGGCCATGGCAGCGGATGCAAAGGCCAAGTCCAAGGCGGCGCTCGCGCTCCCTGCCTTTTCTCTGTCCCTTCTTTCACGGGGCAGTGCGCACACATGCCCCATGCCCCGTGCCCCGTGCCCGCAGGGGAAGGGCAAGAGGAGCGGCGATAGCGAGCGCAAAGATGACGCTGAGACTCAGAGGCAGGGCTCCGATGTAATTGGCTCCTTCCTTGGTTTGGTCGGAGATCCAGAGATCCAGATCCTTGATTTACACGTAGTGAGGAAGCGAGGTAGCCGCGATTAAGGCCATACCGTAGAGAATATGTCAGTCTATAGAACAGTCCAGTCCCGTCTCTTCTCGCTGCCACCTGAAAGACCTTGTGCTGAAGCTTCATGAAAGTATCTCAGATCCTTGCCGGGGAGGCCTTCCGCCGAAGTCTTGACAGAACAGCTTTGCGAGGCTCGCTTCTGTCGGTCCGAACTTGGGCTGCTTCAATGTCCAAGACCGTTTGGCAAGGCAATCAATGGCGGCGCCACCGCACAAGCCGAAGACCTCTTCAGCCAGATGGCACATGTGAGCACCAGTCAGTTTTGGCCTCGACTGCTCAAGTCCGGCAGAGGTCGACTGGACAGCGAGCTCCGTCGAGAGGAGGGGCGGATATGGACGGAGAGCCAAGTACTGCGTTTGCTTCGGAGGACTCTGTGCGCCAGCAGCACTACGTGTCCGAGCTGGAAGCGGCTGCTGTGGCCGTGCCTGAGCAGAAGTAAGCTCTGCCCAACTGCACGGGAGATTCCCCAAGTATCGACGTATCGTAGCACGTTTACGAAACGCCGACGTCCTCGCCATGTGAAGCTTCCCTCCGAGGCATTGCCTGACTCTGACAGCTCCGAGGACGAAGGCGCAGCGCGGCGCAGCTAAACCATCCTGAGAGCTTTGGGCGATGCCGCGCCAGTGGCAGAAGGTGCTCTGCAAGCTCTGCAGAGTGCAAAAAAAGATTCGCTGCAGACTGCAGACCACATTCCTCTACATCTCTCTCGAGACTCGAAACTGAAAGAGACAACCTTGACCTTCCTGCACTCAACTCACCCCCTGAGGATGGCTCCTTTAACAGGGCGAAATGCGCTGCTCGAGCACCTGGGCTTCCCACAATAGCCTCCCCTACAGCACGGCAGCCCAAGTCCTCCGGCCGTGCTTGCTGTATTGACTAGGGGAAGCGACACGAAGCGACACTGGTTTCTTCCTTCTGCCGCCTGCTCAAGAGCTCGACTAAGTCGCGGCTCGCCCTTTCGTACAGATTGACAGAGGAGAGTGCATCAACTTCATCGTTCGAAGCAAAAGCACCCAGTCATCCACAATCGTTAGACCGCTCCCTCCGAGCAAGTGTTTGAGAAGCCACAATGGCCTGGAGCCTTGCTGCGCTGCTCCTGCACTGCTTCTTTCTGGGATGCAACGGCCTCGTGCTAGGAGTTTTGGGCCCTTGGGTGGAACTGGGCGATCTCCTCTTAGCGGCGATGTGTGCAGATCTGGACTTCCGAAAGAACTTCGACTCGAGCTTGCGGGCGAGGCTCGGGGATCCGATTGTTCCCATAACAGAGATCCATCCCCAAATGGCCAACGTCTCCTTCCGATTCGGTGCTACAGAGGGAAAAGCCGACGTTGGACTCGCGACAGCTCTTGACATGGTCCTCGGCTTGGATGGTTCAGAGCCCATCGTCGGGTTGATCGGCCCTGCCATCTCATCCGTCGCCTTGCCCATGGCAACAACGGCGGCCGTGCAGCAGATTCCACAGATCTCTTTCTCAGCAACTAGCCCCCTCCTGTCCAACAAAGACGCATATCCCTACTTCCTCCGAACCGTCCCTCCAGACACTGTTCAAGCGATTGTGCTTTGGAACTGGATCCTGGAGTTCGATGTGCCGCTTGCAATCTGTTTATATACCGAAGAGGCTTACGGCCAATCGCTCTTCAAAGCTCTCGGAGCACAAGCTCAAAGTGCTTCGGGCAGGCTACGGCTGGTAGGTCAGGCTGTACGCTACATGCCCCCGGATGCCTTCCGAGAAGAGGAGGCTCGAAGTTCTTTGGAGCAGACGAAGAACCTAGGCTCGCACTTCCTGGTGCTCTTGATCGAGTTCAGCATGGTTCCACGACTTCTGCCTGTAATGGCACAGGCGGGGCTTCTGGGCTCAGATTGGCAAGCAATCGGCTCAGATACCCTGGCATGGCCTACTGCGCACGCCTATTTGCCCCTGGGCTTTCAGATGGTGGTCGCTCAGGGCCAAGGCTCCAAGTTCTCCGAATTCAGAGATCTCTGGTCATTACTGGATTATAATGACCTTCTGGGATCCGACGCCCAAGCCAGGCCAGGCACCGACGAAAATCCCGCGCCCCTAAAATCCCCGCCGAAAGCCCCTTGTGCACTCTGAGAGGTACGGACTTGGCAGGATGAGGACCTCTTTGGCGGAAGTCTCCAATGCGACCCTGTCCGCCGCCGTGCAATCATACCATGCTTTTGCTTTTGATGCTGCTTATTCCTTCATCATTGCCATCAACCAGATGCTCCTCAGGGGGGTTGCAGAGCATGCTGTGAGAGGCCAAGCGCTTCTCCAGGAGGTGAGAGACGTGAACTTCAGTGGTGTTTCAGGTGACGTGCGCTTTGACTCCAACGGAGATCGTCTAGCATCATACGAGCTTCTGAACATGCAGGGGGACGCACTCGCGCCTGTGGCATCCTCTGTGGCCGTCTTCAGTACTTCTGCGCTGGAGTTCTCTTTTCGGAGTCGAAGCGGGCTAGTCTGGATGAATGGTCTTTCAGGTGCTAATCCACCGGAAGACTTGCTAGCTTGTGATGATGGGTTTTTCAAGGAGGAGCTGTCCCGTCAATGCCGACCCTGCCCCAGAGGTACGATGTGTCCGGGTGGAGTTGATGCCCAGTTTCGGGCCTGTCCGAAAGGAACTTTCACAAACGAGACTGGAATGACAGCTTGCCTGCCGTGTCTCGAGGGGTTTGCTGCTCGTGAAGTTGGCTCGGTCGAGTGCACTCCGTGCCCGCCAGGCTACGAAGCTCCGAGGCAAGGCATGGAGGCCTGCACACGCTGTGAGCTGGGCAGCTACATGCCTTCTGTACAGGGCACCCGATGCGTGCCCTGCGGACAGAACCAGACCACACTTTATAACGGGGCCGAGGCTGCGTCGGAATGCGTTTGCCCTGAGGGCTTATTCATGTGCGAGGGTCGTGGATGCATTCCGTGTCCGGAGGGACTCTACTGCCCCACTGGCTTGGGGATGCCCCATCAAGCAGGTGGCTTCTGGACGGAGTCCAGTTCTGGGCCTTTGCAGTGCGACTTCAGTGTCCTCCGCTGCCGAGATCAAGCAGAATGCCCGCCGGGGCCGCTGGGCGTGTGTGCATCCGGCAGGGAAGGACTTGCATGCAACAACTGCAACGAGAACCACTTTCCTGGTGACGATGGGACGTGTCAAGCATGTGCAGATGCAGATGTGCTACCTACAATCTTGGTTCTGCTGCTGGCGTTGAGTCTGTTGCTTGTTCTCGTTTGCACGCATGTGGACCCAAATCAACAAAGCCCCCTGGCGAAGAAAGAGAACTTCCTCTTCTACTGTTTGGTTTAGGTTTAGACAGACAACTCCGAGTCGAGTCGAGTCACTAAGAGTCTAAGGTCTCAATGTTCTCACGGCAGCTGCGATTTTCAGTCAGATCATTATTTCCATTCAGGCTTTGGGATCCATCCGGAAGCTGGCCATCGCGTGGCAAGAACCAGCCAAGACCATTGTGGAGTTAACAAGACTTCTAACTTTCGATTTCGACATCATCAGAATCTCATGCTTCCTTGGTACTGACAGTCCTTCACTGAAGTTCTTGAGTAAAATCCTGGTATGTCCTTTCGGATGTGCCCTGCTTCTTGGGACCTGGCTGGGAATGAAGTTATGCGGCCGTCACCGACCGTTGGATAGCACCTTGCTCCGAACGAACACCCTGTGATCTTTGCCGAATGTAGCACGGTCCACAGTACAAGGGCCAGAGTTCCATGTCTTCAATCTTGTCGGAGCTGAGGCGTCGTGAACATGTGCGGGTTGCTTTTCTTCGCGTTTTTCCTCTCCATCGCATTGACAAGCTTGATTCCTTTTCGATGCGCTCGGAATCCGGACGGAAGCACTTCGATGGTTTCAGACCCAGGCATCATATGCTATGAGTCCGAAGAGCATGCGGTGCTGGTGGCCTTGGCGGTGGCAGGCATTCTCACACAGCCAGCCGTGATTTTAGCATGGACGTCCCACGCCACGTTCAGCTATCCATCGCGCGTAGCCAGTGGGAGCGGCTTACGGCAAGTGCACCGACATCGCTTCCTTTTCCATCGCTTCAAGCCCGAGAGCTTCTACTTTGGCTTGGTCTTATTGTACCGGAACGGAATTGTCGCAATTCTCCCTGTGATTTCTGTTGGTATTGTGGAGCTGCAGGTGCCAGCGATGGGGACCATCCTTCTCGCCAGCCTCGCACTGCAAGTGAGGACCTACCCCTGGCGCACGGTGCAAGCCAATGTGCGGACCCGATTCGTTACTCTCATGAACCCCGAACCCCCCATGAAAAACGAGGAATAAATCTAAGTTTCCTTGACCTATTGAAACCCGCACCGCGCCCGGCGAGTCGCTCTGTAATGACGCCCCTTCACTCGTTGCACACAATATTTGACTCGCGGAGAGTTGGTCTTGAGAGTCTTGTAGAGACTGGGCCTACGGCCTACGCCCGGAGGCCTTAGCTGAACTTGGGGTAGGAACTTGGGCCTCGTGCAGTGTCGTGATACATCGCGCTTTGATTGTGCTTGTAGGTTCTTGGTTCTGGCCCTCGGGCAGCAGCCTTTGGAATGCTTAAGGTCGTTGACATGCTGCTGACGGTGCTCTTGCTGGTGATCTTGCTGGGGGCTGCGCCTTTGCTGAGCATCAACTTCCAGAATTCCTCTCAGGTCCTGGGGTGGCTCCTTTGCATCCCAATCTTTGGTTTGCTGCTTGTTGGATTGGCCGGTCTTTCCAGGATGGCGCTCCGCCACTTTTACCCAGCCGCTCAGTATGGGGTTTTCTTGTGTCACCACAAGGGCGGCGCAGGCAGCTTATGCCGACTCATGAAGCTCATTATTGCCAGACACACTTCGACTCGTGTGTTTTTGGATTGCGACCAGTTGGAGAATTTAGATTTCCTCTTCGACATCATTCGGACGTCAACGAACAGTGTGGCGGCGGTGCTTACACCTGAATTGCTGCGCAGGGTGTCTTGGCAAATCACGGCTTGATTCTTGGGACTGCGAGGGTATGTTCGAAGTTTCATGTTGAAGTGGGCTACAAGCGTCTGCGAAGGTTTGGTGTGGTGGAGAAATCACAACTGCATGGAAGAATAAGATCACCACCGTGCCGCTCGTGTGTGACGGCTTCCTGCCGCTTTCAGATGAAGCACAGAAGCTGATTCCAACTCTGTGGACGCCTCAACAGAAGCAAATCCTTGCCAACTACGGCGTGGAGATTGAAGAAGTGCATGCGGCGTATGCCTGGTTACAGAACGACTTAATGAGCATTCAGATGCCTCGATTTGGGCCAGTGCACCGCTCAGCTTGGGGTCTGTGCTGTTGTCGGTTAAGCAGAGGCACTGTCGCCATCATATGTATGCACACGACGGAGATTTGGTAGGCACTCCGGTATGAAGCATCTCTCTTACTGGTAGTGGGTTGTGGTGATGACGGCTGGTTGAGATAAAACTGAAAGGATCGGACGACCCAGCATCAGACTGCAGAAGCCAAGAGCAAACGTTGTTGTCGGAGGCATTGCATGCAAGCTCGGATGCAGGAAGGGTTAGCGCAACGCTTCCGAGGCTGCGTCAACAGCGCCGGAACCCCGCCATCTGGAAACCAGGGAAGTCCTACTTTC